CTGCATCTGGTTGCTCCTGAATTCTGCTGCGCCGTCAGACTGCCAAATCTTGAGCTTCTTCCCAGATTGCCGCTCCGCGTGCGGCAGCCAGAGGCGAAATACCTCGTAGGCTCTGTCGCGCGACTCCACATTCACGACCCACACGTAGCGTGTTCCAGCGTCGATGAAGGTAAGAGTGTATAGCTCGTCCTCGACTCCGCAATGCCCCACGTTCAGGAAATCGCTGTACACCTTGTGCACCTTGGGGTAGCGGTTGGTCCCAGGTTCGAGTAGCGGGAACGGTTGGTGGCTCAACGCAGCTTCGGGGCAGACGGTGCAGTTGCGCGGATGTGTCGCGCCGCTCACTTCGGAGCCATCAGGGCGCAGGAGTGCGCCAGGAGCGAAGACGCCAGCGTCGATGCAGTTTTTCAGCGTCGCGCGGGAAGGATGTCCGAGGCGCTGGTGCCAGAGTGCATCGTCAGCGCGAAAGCCGGAGGTGCGCATATAGCGCGCGCGCGCTTCCTCAGGGTCTTCGTCAGGTGCGGGAGCAGGTTCCGCTGCTACTTCCTCTGCTTCTTCTTCTTCTGCCGCGGTAGTCAGCATCAGTGCCAAGAACTCTCTGTCGCGAATTTCAGAGAGCGGGATGTTAGTCCCAGGGATGGTTCCAGGGACGAGAGTAGGCTCGCGTGGCTCAGGGGCAGGTCCGTAGACGGTGCGACGCGGGGTTGACGGCTCGTTGCCCCAGATGATGGTGTCCCAAGGGTCGCGACGCGGGGGAATATCTGCAGGGGTTGGTGCGAGCGGGATATGGTGCGGGGGACGACCGAGAGGAACGACTGCAGGTGCTGCTTCGGTTTCCTCAGCTTCGTCCTCTTCCCCCCTTCGTTCTTCGCGGGAAGTGCCCCAGCCGCTGTCTGCGGCGGTAGGTACGGCGCCCCATCCGCCGCTCGCGTTGGCCCAGGTTCCGCCAGTGTCGCCCCATCCGCCAGTATCACTGGTTCCCCATCCTCCAGCGCTTCCCCACCCCCCTTCATTGGAGGCACTTTCTTCCTCCTCGGCTCCCCAGGCGGCGCAAGCGAAGGTCCCGCGTGCTTCCGCGAGGCTTTGCTGGCGAAGCTCCTCGGCTTCGCGGCGCGCCAGTTCTTCCTCTTGCTCCACGGTGAGTTTCGCCGAGGGGTCGAGCCGATGAGGGTACACCTTTCGGAATTCCTCGAGAGTGTAGGGGCGCGGAACTCCTCGTGAGTCCAAGCTTCCGCGGCGTTGTCCGCGCAGGATGTTGTCGAGCCGCTGGGAGGGAGGTCCAGCGTGGGGGCTTTGGTCGGTGCCGAACACGCGGCGAGTAGTCTCCTCGACCTCGAGCTGCGACATCCCTTCTTCTGGTGGCGCGTGGCGCTCTGCTTCAGCGATGGCGGCGAGTCCGCGGCCCGCAATCGCGCTTGTTGAGGTCGTCGGCGTGTGGCAATCCCTGCATATGCCGTCGGGGTCGGGGTTGTGTAACGCCGTTTCGCGTGGGTGAGGATGATGCGGCACCCACGGCCTGCCGTCAGGGTGCTTCCAGTCCCTGCGGTGGATGTGCTCGAAGCGTAGTGGCACGAGGTCAATCAGCTCGTGCGAGTCGCCGCTGCAGTCGGGGATGTCGAAATCCAGGACGTACACTCCATTTTCGGAGTGTGCTCGTCCGATCTGCCTGTCAGAGGTCCACTGGAGATCCCCGATTGATCCTAGGGAAGGGTTACAGGCACGGCGGCCTGGGGGGTTATGGGCGCACTCACCCGCTACACAAATAAGCCCTTTTATCCCAGTGGTTAGTGGCTGGGATTCTGACATGGTATCAGAGCGAAGGTCTCGGGTTCGAATCCCGGTGTGTGCACCTCGGGCATCCCAGTGCGGGGGGGTGTCAGAGGTCCACTGGAGATCCCCGATTGATCCTAGGGAAGGGTTACAGGCACGGCGGCCTGGGGGGTTATGGGCGCACTCACCCGCTACACAAATAAGCCCTTTTATCCCAGTGGTTAGTGGCTGGGATTCTGACACTGCCTGCGGGGGAAGTTGCGTGCTTCGTAGTGCAGCAGGATATCTCGCGTTTCGCGGTCCGTGCTGAGGTCGACGCCGCAATCCATGAGCTGTGCGGCGGACAGAAGGTTGAAGCGCAGGTTCTGGACGATCGGCACGTCGTTGAGCGTGATGTGCGTGCGGCTCCCGCGTGCCTTGAGCACGACGATGCCTTGCGCGCTTGCGCGCAGGCGCGTGTTGTTCGCCACAGTGACGTAAGTGACGGCAGGGGTGGCGACGGCGTTGGATATGTAACGCTCAGAGCCCACCATATGCTGGCCGCAGCAGCTGTCCAGGTACCAGGTGTTGTAGCGCTTGTTGTCGTCACGTGCGAGCAGCGCCAATCGCGGCGTGACGATGTGCGGAGTGTCGAACTTCAAAAATTGTTCGCGCGTGAGCCAATCAAGTGGCGCCACCCGCATATCAGGTACGTGCGGGGGACTTTCAAGCAGCGGGACTGGAAGATTCCAGTCCTGGTCGTCGTCGTCGGTGAAGTCGCGGCGCGGACTAAACGGGTTGTTGTTGGTGAACGCGCCAATTGGGTGCGGTGCCGGCTCAGGTGACGGTGAGCGAACGCGGCGACGACGCGACTCGCCTGTCATGGCCATGCTGCTCATGTCGTTGCGAACTGGGGCAGTCGAGGACGGCTGCTGCTGCTGATGCTGAACCGCTGGGTTCAGGTTGCGCGCGAGAGGGGGCTGATACCCTTGGGCTGGACGCACGTCGCCTCGTGCGTCTTGACGGCCGGACCAGGTGCTCGGATTGGTCTGGCGAGGGCGAGATCGGTTCTTGCATCGATCCGCCAGATGCCCGAAATTTCTGCAGATCTTGCAGTAGAGGCGCCGTGGCTTTCGCTCTTCGGTGTTGTCGGCGTAGAAGGCGAGCCGTTCGCGTTCTCGTCGCGGCGCTGGTCGCTGCTGGTCCATATCCCTTTGTTCGACGAGAAGGGCGGCGCAAAGGGCGGCCTCCGAGATGACCCCCTGCTGTCGGAGAAGCGCCTTGCAGGGCCGCCACTCTGGGCCGAGCCCTTGAAGCACGATGTTGACGAAGATTTCTTCTGAAATCGTGCTTCCCAACTTCACGATTTGATCGCGAAGGCTCCGACAGCGGTTAAGGTAATTGTTGACCTTCTCCCCTGCGGTCATCTTAGTTTCCAGGAGTTCCTGGAGTAGTCGGCTCGAAGAGACAGAGTCCTTGGGCTGGTAGACTCCTGTCAGGTGCCGCCAGGCGTTAAGGGCTGGAGCAGCTGTGGTTTTGTATGAACGAATGTTGAGCTGCTCCGCCGCCGACATATTCCGCAGGAGCACCCCGTACGCCATCAGCGACTCGTTGTAATACCTTGCCTTGGCGTCGTCGGTGTCCTCAGCAGGCTCCGCGTAGCTCCCGTCGAAATAGTGGAAGATCTGGGCGTTCTGAAGCAGGAGCTCCAGCTCGAAGCTCCAGGTGTAAAAGTCTCTGCCGTCAAAACAGGTACTTGTCTTTATTTTTGATATGCTGAGAAACCTTGATTGAGCGGAGAGAATTGCCTCTTCACTGGGACGGGGAGCCTTGGGGGTTGAGCCATTGGTGTCGAGGGAGAAAGTTTGCGGGGTGGCGTTCTGGCCAGTCGGGGCCGGTTGAGAGGGTTGCGAGGATGTTCCCGCATCGCCATTCCGCAATGTTTGGAGCCCTTGCTCCAAGCTGGTGAGTCGCTGAAGAAGTTGTGCGAGAACTTCGGAGTTGATTGTCGTCGTGTTCTCGCTTGTCGCAGCCGGGTTGGGTTGCGCTTCAGCAACTAGATTAGTCTGACCACCAGATCCTCCGGCCATCTTCACTCGTGAACGTGTGCCGGACGCCACTTTTCCAAATGTCGCAATTTTCGGGAGTGGCAGTGCGAAGGATTCCCGAGCCGCTCTCATACCATGCTGCGATCAGAAGTTGATCGTAGCCCAGGATCTACCCGGGAAGGTTCGCACGCAGTGAGATGGTTTGGTGGGCCCTTGACCTCAATAGCAGAGTGAATGTAAAATGCTTTGAGATGAATAAAACATGCAAACAAGGTGATATAAATAAGAGTACAATGGAATACGAAAAGACCTAACTAGTCATGTACTCTAAGGGGTACATTCCCTTATTCAAATGCATTCCCAACCGTGCGGCGCGTACAGTTTCGTAACTGTTCCCGCCAAAACCACCTTGCCTGCCGCTGCCCGATGCCGTCTGCTCCGACGGTCCAGATGCGTCCCAACTGTCTGACGCTTCGAGTCAATTCCAACCGTCTGACGCTTCGCGTTCATTCTCGTTACTGCGTGCTTCTCTTTGCTGCGGTGAGGAGTGCACAGTAATATCAAATGTTACTATTCGTAACAGTTGGGAGCGCACATGTGCCCTCTCTGTCCCAGCATACTGGAACCTTTTGGACACATTACATTGCTTATTTTTACTTGGATTATTATTCTAGGCATGAGCACGTGCTGCTGGAGTAATGGGGTGGTTGGCAGATGGTAACTTCGCACAGCATTCATTACGCATATGATACTAAATATTATGAATTTTCAAAACATGTGTGCACAATTGTGCTGCTAACGAGTCATATGCGTATCGACAACGCAATCTAAGAGCAACGCGTGGAATCGGACAATGGTGCGTCACTGCATTATCCCCTGACGAAATCGGGCGTATCGCCGCGCCGCACTGGAATTTGTAGCAGTCTAGAGAAGATGAGGCATGCAGGACGTTCACATCACAGCGTTCAGTGCTAGCGTTCCGGCCTTGGCAAGTACGATATAGTGGTTCTGAAGGTGGCATCTCCTTCGAAGTCGCTGTTTGTGACGATTGCCAGGACGCTTGTTGTTGGTTCGCAAGATTTAAATTCCTTCGGCGAATTCCGAGCGAATTCGCTGGACCTCGTTCGCCAAGATCATTTTCTGTGGAAAATGTGTAGTCGTCAGTCTTGCTTGGGCAGTCGTAACGTTTTTCCGCTTGCTCTCATGGGGCTTCTCATCCAGCGAAGCGTGCTTTCACTCCTCGCGATCTTCCTTCTCGCCGCGTCCCTCGCGCCGGGTCTTGCGGCTGATTCCGGTGGCGCCGCAACGACCGCGCCTCCGCGGCTCGCGCGCGCGCGGCTGTGGCGGACGGGGGAGCTCACGCTGGAGCGCATCGCAGCGCAGCGCGAGTGGCTATCCTCCGCAGCCTTCAAACAGCGCCTTCTCTCCGCCACCGGTCTGCGCGCGGACGGCACAGAAGGCCGCGGCGTAACCGGCGCAAGCGGCGCGGACGGCGCAAGCGGCGGCGAGCGCGGGCCGGTCGTGGTGCCGCTGAACAACTACCTGGACGCGCAGTATTACATGGAGATCGGCATCGGCTCGCCGCCGCAGACGTTCAGAGTCGTGCCCGACACCGGCAGCAGCAGCCTCTGGGTGCCTTCGCGCCGCTGCTACCTCTCCGTAAGCCTCCCTCCGTCGCCTCGCGTCTCCTCTCCTCTCCGCCACCACTACTTTTTTTTCATCCTTCCCGTCCCTCCCCTCCGTCCCCTATGATTCAAAACAACTTTGTTCTTTTCCGTGCCTACCCTCTCTCCCCCCCACCCCGCGTTCGCCCTCCCTTACTTTCCCCGTCACGCCTCCACTTCACATGCGCAGCTGGCGTGTCTGAACCACGCCAAGTACGATTCGCGCAAGTCGCGCACGTTTCACCCCCTGCTTACCGCCTCTGTCCCCCCTGCGGCCGCGCTCCCCCCCCTTTCTGCGCAGCTGGCGTGTCTGAACCACGCCAAGTACGATTCACGCAAGTCGCACACATACAAGCCGGACGGCACGCCCTTCGAAATCCGGTACGGCAGCGGCGCCGTCACGGGATTCCAGTCCAACGACCACGTGACTATAGGCGACGTGACTATAACGGGGCAGACCTTCGCGGAGGCCACCAGCGAGGCCGGGCTCGCGTTCTTCTGGTGGAAATTCGACGGAATATTGGGGCTGGGCTTTAAGGAGATCGCGGTGAACAGGGTGGTGCCGCCGTGGTACAACATGCTGGAGCAGGGGTTGGTTCCCGCGCCGGTGTTCTCATTCTGGTTGAACAGGGACGCGGCGGGGGAGGTGGGCGGGGAGGTGGTGTTTGGCGGGGTGGATGGGGCGCATTACAAGGGCGCGCACTCGTGGGCGCCTGTTACCAGGCGCGGGTACTGGCAGGTGCGCACAGGCAGAGGGGAGGGGTCTGGTGAACGGGGAAGGGAGGGGTGGCGGGGGGTGGCTTGCAGAGGCATGATGTGGCATGGCATTTCAACATGGCATTTCAACAAGGCATTTCAACATGGCATTTCAACATGGCATTTCAACAAGGCATTTCAACATGGCATTTCAACAAGGCATTTCAACATGGCATTTCAACATGGCATTTCAACAAGGCATTTCAACATGGCATTTCAACAAGGCATTTCAACATGGCATTTCAACATGGCATGACGCTGCATGTATGGTGGACTTTGATGCGTTAGTTGGGGATGTCTTCATGTGGTAGAGATTAGGGGTTCGGGGTTTGTGAACCATCCACACTTGTGTGTGTGTATGTTGTGTGTGCGGTGTATGTGCATGCCTGCTCACGTATGCGTATACATGTGTGCATGTTTACATGCATGGTGGGCATGCATGATGGGCATGCATGATGGGCATGCATGGTGGGCATGCAGTTCGACATGGGAGATGTGCTCATTAACGGCTCCACCACCAGTGAGTCATCCCCCATGCCCCATCCCCCATCCCCCATGCCCCATGCCCCATGCCCCATGCCTCCTGCCCCATGCCCCATGCCCCATGCCCCATGCCCATGCCTCCTGCCCCATGGCCCATGGCCCATGCCCCATGCCCCATGCCCCGTGCTCCATGCCCCATGCCCCATGCCCCGTGCTCCATGCCCCATGCCCCATGCCCCATGCCCCATGCCCCATGCCCTATGCCCCATGCCTCCTGCATCTTGCTCACTCCTTTCCCCACCTCAAGCTGCCTTGTGCCTTGCTCTAGGCTCATGGCATGCGATGCATGACAGTCCACTCCATGTGTACGGAAGGAGTTCTTCCCTCTGCCTCCCACATGCATCTCCCACGCATGTATCACGCACGCCAATTTCTCTCTCTCTCAATCTCTCTCTCTTCCCGCGCGTGCCCTGTCCTCTCCTGCCCACCAGGCATCTGCGAGAGCGGCTGTGCGGCCATTGCTGACACTGGCACCTCCCTCATTGCAGGCCCCTCGGTGCGCCCTTTCCTCCCCTTCCTCACTTTCAACTCTCCCTCCCTTAGACCATCCTAGTGTTTTTCTCAAACTACCACTTACCCTCCCTCCTGCTGTCCCCTCTCGTCCCCTTTCCCCCCTCTCTTCCCCTCCTAGCCCTTTCACCTGCTTTTCACCTGGGTCGTCTCCCACCCTTCCACCAGCCCTCTCCCCCTGCTCTCCCATGCGCCATCCATTTCCCTGCATGTTCCTTCTTCACTTCCTCCCACTGTCAGTCAGCACTCTTCGTTGCATGTGTGTGCCGATTCTCCGAAATTCCTGATTCCATTTCCCCTTTGGTGTTCCGTAACGATTTCATACCTCTTACCATGTTCACTCCTTGCATTTCGGGGCAGGCGGTGGTAGCGGAGATCAACGCGGCGATTGGCGCCAAGGGCGCGGCCCAAGAGGCGTGCGTGCAGCTGGTGCACGAATATGCCGGCATTATCATCGACCTGCTCGAGCGGAAGGTGCACAACAGTAGGTGTGGCACACGGTGTGCTGTTTTGTGCGGCCCAACAGGCGTGCAATCAGCTGGTGCACGAATATGCCGTGATCATCATCGACCTCCTGGAATGCGAGGTTCGCCTTACAAGGAAGGAGCGCAAGGGAGAGAAGGCATTATGATCCCACCGCCCTCTCACAACATGCTTGCAAGTGTCACTTCTAACTCATCTTCCCCCGCCATCCATCCAACCTTCCTCCCCTTCCCCACCCACTCTTCCCGTACCCAACCACCATGACTCGCCATCAGATGGACCCGTCTCTTGTGTGCCATGCCATCGGCCTCTGTGACGACATGCCTGCAACCACCTCTTTTGATTCACTATCCTGATCCTTCCCCCATTGCCCCACATCATCAGATGGACCCGTCTCTTGTGTGCCATGCCATTGGCCTCTGTGAGGACATGCCTGCAACCAACCTGCGCTTTTCATTCATCATCCCGCTCCTCTCTTCCCCCATCTCCACCACCCCACAATCCTCCGTTACCTCCCCACATCATCAGATGGACCCATCTCTTGTTTGCCATGCCGTCGGCCTCTGTGACGACATGGTTGCAACTACGGTACCAATTTTCATCCCTCGTCTCACTCCACCTGCCTCCCACCTCTTTCCCCATCTCCACCACGCCCACGTCCCCCACTACCGCACCACATCATCAGATGGACCCATCTCTTGTGTGCCATGCCGTTGGCCTCTGTGACGACATGGCTGCAACCGCTGCTCGCACCACCCCCACGCCTAGGTGACCTCTCTCGCTCCACTCCTCCACTCACTCCCCTTTCATGCCCGCCTCACCTTGCCCTACTCATTTCCCTGGTTACTCCTTCCGCCACTCGCCCATCCTGCCCTCCACCCCCCCTCTTGTACCACACTGTAGCTCTGTTCCTCCCTTACTTCATCTACCCCCCGGCCAGCACGAGCCCCCCGTTTGCTCGGGTTGGGAGGAGGAGGAGCAGGTGATCCAGATGCCCGGGGTGCTGTTTTCCCTTCTCTCTCACTGGCCCCTGCGTCTTGCCCCTCCCTCTCTCACTCTACTCTCTCTCTGTCTTGTCTCTCTCTCTCTTCTCTCTCTCTGCCGAAGTCTGCTCAGGTGGGAGGAGGACCCAGTCATTCAGATGCCCGGGGACCATGCTGACGTGGCAGATGCCATCGGTGACAAGGCGGGCAGCAGCAGCAGCAACAGCAGCAGCGGCAGCAGCAGCAGCAGCGGCAGCAGCAGCAGCGGCAGCAGCAGCAGAAATGGCGGGCGAGTGGGAGATCCCAGGTGTTCGCTGTGTGAGGCGATGGTGATATGGGTGCAGAACCAGCTAGCGAGGAACAAGAGCCGGTCTGAGATCATCTCTCACCTCAACACGGTGCGTTTCTTGGTCGACTGAATGGTTGTCTCACAATGAGTGCACCCAATATTCGTCTTTTAATGAGTCCGCTCAGAACCAGCTGGCGAGGACCAAGACCCGGGCTGAGATCACCAGTCACCTCAACACGGTGCGTGTGTGCCTTCCTCGCAACTTGCCAAGGTGACTATTGAGTCAACTCAAAAGTCACCTTGCGCCTTCCTCGCAACTTGCCATCCTCCCACCCTCGCAACCCGCCGGCCTACAATGGCACGTCAGCGGTGTGTTTTTCCACACATTGGATGTTGGATACTTATTTTTTGCAGGTGTGAATCGCACAGCAATTGTCTTATGCGCCCAACTTCCGTCCCCTCCCCTTCCCTTGCTCCACGTCCCTGCTTAGATGTGTGAGCACCTGCCAAACCCGGATAGGGTGGCGCAGGTGGAGTGCAGCAAGGTGCACCAGATGCCCGCAGTGGCCTTCACCATAGGGGACAAGCACTTTGCGCTCCCTCTTCCTCCCTTCCCTACCTTTTTTCTCAATCAGATGTGTGAGCACCTGCCAAACCCAGAGGGGGTGGCGCAGGTGGATTGCAGCAGCGTGCACCAGATGCCGGAAGTGGCCTTTACCATAGGGGACAAGCACTTTGCACTACAGCCGCAGCAGTACGTGCTACAGGCGGGGCAGGGCCGTCAGAAGCTCTGCATCAGCGGCTTCCTTCCCATCGACCTGCCTATCTGGTGAGTTGCTGTGTGTGTGCCTATCTCGCCGGCCCGTATCACCATGCTCCTCTGAGATTTTTGGGCGCCTAAGCCACAAGCACCATCAGCAGCTCCGCATGTCAGCGCCTTCCTGCCCCTCCACGTGCCTGAACCCCTGGGTCCCATCTGGTGAGTTGAGGTGTGTGTTTTTGTTGATGTGGATGCAAGTCTTTGCTGCCACGCCTCCAAGTGTTGTTTCACAGCAAGGCCAGCACCGTCTGCAGCCCTGCATCAGCGCCTTCCTGCCCCTCGATGTGCCTGAACCCCTCGGCCCGATCTGGTGAGTAGGGACGTCACGTCACAGAAGGCTTGTATGAACGCACAGGGGTGTGTGATTGTGTTGGCGCTCATACAAGTTTTCTGTAACCCCCCCGGATTCATCGAGACACTCTCTGCTTCAAGGCTTATAAATATTCCCACCATCCACCCCTTCGTCCCCACACCCCACACCCTCTCTCCCCCACGTGTCTCCCCTACGTCAGGATTCTGGGCGACACGTTCCTGGGGGCGTACCACTCAGTGTACGACTTTGGCAATGAGCGCGTGGGCTTTGCTGAGTCAGCATGATGGACGGGTAGCGATGCTGCTGGTTCTCCCACCCATTCTGCCCACCCTCCAAATGCCAGGATTCTAGGTGACACGTTCCTGGGGGCGTACCACTCGGTGTATGACTTTGGCAATGAGCGCGTAGGCTTTGCTGAGTCAGCATGATGGACGGGCAGTGTGTTAGAATCTAGCAGCAGGAATGGATGAACTAACAGGATGCAGGAGTACAAGTAGTAAACCCTAACTAGGTTGTACCCCATATGGGCTACCCCACTACAGCCTAGACAATATGCAGCACATATAGTTTGACACACCCCCATAGGCAAAGTGGGGGAGAACAAGGGGTCACACGACCAGTCAAGAGAAGCAAAACAAGCTCAGGGTGGATCACAACGTCACCACGCATTCTGAGCACAAGCAAAGGGCCACTGGGCCAGTTCACATGCAGAGATATATATGCAGCAATAACAGTACAGTGATGGCTACCTAGCAAGAGCCAGCATGCATATATATATATATATGTACAGATCACAGTACAAGCAGAGACTACAGCAAGTGTGGAAACGTAGGCACAAGGCCTAACAGAGTACAAAAGCGCTGATGATCACCAGACGGAAGTGCCTTGGTGAATATGTCAGCAGTGTTGGCCCGAGTGGCCACGTGGCGAAGACGAAGCTGGCCTCGCTGCTGCAACTCTCGAGCCAGGAAGTACCGCAGAGCAATGTGCTTCGTTCTGTGCTCCAGTCTGTGCTCCTCACACAAGGCAATGGCGGCCTTGTTGTCAACGTACAGCACTGGAGGAGAACGAGGCTGCTCTCCCAAGTCAGTCAGCAGGTAGGTGAGCCAGCGTAACTCCTGTGCAGCCATGGCGGTGGCGTAGATCTCAGCCTCACAACTGGAGCCGAGAACTGAAGTCGAGCGTGTAGAACGCCACGAAACTGAACCAGAGCCAAGGCTGAAGGTGTAACCCTGTGACGACCGCTGAGTAGCCAGGTCGTCAACCCAAGAAGCGTCTGAGTGCCCAGTGAGGACAACTGGGCTCGTCCCTCCAAGCACTAGCCCCATGCCTGATGTGCTGCACAAGTAACGCAGTACCCTCTTAGCAGCAGCCATGTGCTCAGGTCGGTGCCGACCAGGAGCCACGTAGCGAGCCAGGAGACCAAGAGGGTATGCGAGGTCAGGTCGAGTGCAAGTCATCAGGTACATGAGGCAGCCGACTAGCTCTGGGTAAGGACCACTCGGCTCTACGGACTCGTCCGAAGGTGGAGCTGAGAGCGTGTGACCTGTAGCCAGAGGAGTGGCCTGTGCTGAAGACCAGGTGAAGCCGAAGCGCTGAAGGACCTGCTGCACCATGTGTGACTGAGTCAAGGTGATGGTGCGACGTGCTCTGTCTCGGGTGATCTGCAAGCCAAGGTAGCTGCGCAGCTCACCCAAGTCTGTGCACGTGTGTCTCTTCTGCAGCTCCGACTTCACGTGGGCGAGAGCCTCAGTGTCAGCAGTGGCAAAAACCAAGTCGTCGACATACACGAGGATGTAGAACGGCGGCAGGGAAGTGTCGGTGCGCAGAAACAGCGACGGGTCAGCAGTAGAAGGCGCAAACCCAAGAGCCGCAAGCGTAGTCCTCAGTGTGTCGTGCCACTCACGTGGCGCCTGGCGGAGACCGTAGACCGGCCGCCGGAGGCTCCACTGGGTGCCAGGAGGGAACGACCCAGTGAAGCCCGGGGGGCGGCGCAGCCAGATCTCCTCGTGCAGGCTGCCCTGCAAGAAAGCTGTGCTGAAGTCAAGAGAGTGAAGCTCGTAGTCACGGTGAGCAGCAACGTGCAGCAGCACCCGAAGAGTGGTCATCTTCAGGGTGGGGGAGAAGGTCTGGAAGAAGTCAACTCCCTCTCGCTGACTGAAGCCTCGAGCCACGTAACGCGCCTTGAAGACAGGCGGAGAACCCGGCGGCCGCTTCACCCTGAAAATCCACATGCCACTGACGATGTTCGCCCCAGGTGGGGGAACCTCGTCAACGTAGGTGCCTGTGGACTTCCAGGAAGCCATCTCTGCGTCCATGGCTGCCTGCCACTGAGAGGAGTAGGGACCCTCTATCGCCTCTGCGTAAGAGCGCGGAGTCGGGATGTCTGGTGCATCCGGGTCTCCCTCAGGGGCAAGTAGCGAGGACACAAGATGAGGTAAAGCAGCAGCAAGGCACTGGAACTCCTCCTGCCTGTCCTCAAGGACGTCCGTGCTAAGAGCACACTCACCCCCGACGGACGGAGGACAGACAGACTCAGACTCAGTAACAAGACTGGCAGTGAAGTCTAGACGACAGGCAGCAGCAAAGTCAACAAGCTCAGCGACAAGAGCAGACGCAGCAGCAGACTCAAACGACGGGTCAGTGACAACTGTGGCTAGTAGACGCGTGACAGTAGGGTGCTGAGCACGAAACCGGTCAGACGCAGGGTCCGGAACGTCAGGCAAAGAGGACGCAGGAGGAGACGGCAGAGGAACAGGCTGCGGAACAGAGGAAGGACGACGGACTACGAGGTGCGCGCTGGGGACAGCCGGCGGACGCGAACGAGGAACACGAGGACCGGTACGACCAGGACGAGCAGGCGAGACAGGACGCGACGCAGGCTCACGACGCACAGCAGGACTACCAGTCAGCTCAGCGTAAGGAGAAGGAGCAGGCAGCGGCGAGCCAGTCTGTAACGGAAGACCAGTAGACGACGGAAGAGTAAGAACCTGACGAAGAACAGAGGCAGACGGCGGCAGAGACGACGGAGACGGCGGAGCGAAGAACAGTCGTGTCGGCGCAGCTGCACCAGAACCAGCAGCTCCAGCAGCTCCAGTGCCTCCAGCAGCTCCAGTACCTCCAGCAGCTCCAGTACCTCCAGCAGCTCCAGAAGCTCCAGGCCCAGAGCCGACACCTCGAGTCCCAGGGTCTCCAACCTCTGTGTCTCCAGCAGCAGCACCCCCAGAACCAGCACCTCCAGTCCCAGGGTCTCCAACCGCAGGGTCTCCAGCAGTAGCACCCCCAGGTGCTCCCCAGGTAGACCCCCTCCCCGCTCCCGGTCCTGCTCCTTCAGGTGTTTCTCAGGTAGACCCTCCTCCCTTGACTGCGCCGGTTGAGGTCACTGGTGACTCAGGTCCTCCTGCGAGTGGTCCTGCTCGGGGTGCTGAGCCTGGGGGTGCGGAGCCTGGGGGTGCTGAGTCTGGGGGTACTGAGCCTGAGGGTGCGGAGCTTGAGGGTGTAGAGCCTGGTGGTGCTGAGCCTGCGTGTGAGGGGTCTGGGGGTGCTGAGCTTGGCGGTACTGACGCTGGAGGTTCTGGAGCTACTGAGGGTGCTGGCGCTGGAGGTTCAGGAGCTGCTGGAGGGCCTAGTCCTGGTGGCGCTGGAGCTGGAGGTCCTGGAGCTGTTGAGGGTGCTCGCGCTGGAGGTTCTGGAGTCGCTGGAGGTACTGGTGCTGAGGGTACTGACACCGGAGGTTCTGGAGCCGTTGGGGGTGCGGGCGCTGAGGGTTCTGAGTCTGCTGTTGCGCGGTCTCCTTGGAGTGGCCGCCTTCGTCCCCGTGTGCCTCTCACCCCACAGCAGCTGCAGGACTGGTACGGTCGCCGTCAGCGTCGCGCTGCTGGAGCTCGGAGTCGTGCTGGTCCTTTGTCTACTGGAGGTGCTGGAGTTGCTGGTTCTGGAGGGGCTCGTGCTGGAGACACTGAGGCTGGAGACCCTTGGACTGGAGGTGCTGGCTCTGGGGGTGCTGCTGCTGGAGACGCTGAGGTTGGAGACCCTGGAGCTGGAGGTGCTGGTTCTGGAGCAAGGAAGAGCGGCGGGGGGGGGAGCGAGGCAGTGCGGTAGGGGAAGAGACGGTAAAAGGGAACCGACTCGTCGAACGTGACGTCCTGAGACGCAAAGACACGGCGCGAGGTGGGGTGGTAAAACTGCCAACCAGGCGCGTCAGGGACAAAGCCAAGGAAGACACAGGGAACAGCGCGGGCGGAGAGCTTGTCCGCGGTGGTATCGCGGACAAAGGCACGAGCACCCCAGACCCGGAAACGCGACGCATCGCCAACCTTCCCCGTCCACAGCAGTGTGGGCGAGGTCTCCGGCAAGGAGACACGGGGCCAGAGGTTGAGCTGATGCGCGGCGTACCGGACCGCAAACGGCCACAGAAAATGGGGGGCAGCCGCATGGATCATGGAGGTACGAGCGACCTCCATGACTAAGCCAATGCGGCGCTCAGCAACCCCATTCTGCTGTGGAGAGGCCGGAAGCGTGAACGACTGGGTGATGCCGTGCTCCGCACAGTAGGCTGCCAAGAGGTCGGAGGAGAACTCATCACCTCTGTCAGAGTGCAGACGCAGGACAGGAAAGTCCGACCGGAACCGCTCGCGGAGCTGGAGACGAACAGCGCGGATCCAGGGGATCAAAACAGCAGGGACGTCCCCCTTGCTCTGCAAGGGGAAGACCGTGGTGTAACGCGTGTAGTCGTCGACGACCAGCAGGAAGTACCGCTCGCGGCCTTGTCCCTGGACGCGGGCTGGGCCCCACACGTCCAGATGGAGCGTCTGCAGTGGAGCCTCTGTGGGAGGAAACGAGGAGGAGTGAGGAGCGGCGCGCTGCCGCCCCTCGACGCAAGGAATGCAGGGCGGCGCAGGCGAGGGAGGGAGGGCAGGCAGGGACCTGGGAAGACCAGAGACCAGGGAGCGAGAGTGCATGCTACGCAGGCGAGGCAAGGAGGGGTGACCAAGGCGGTGGTGCCACAGGAGAGTGTCGTGCGACAAAGCGCGACACTCGCAGGGGGCCGCCAGCTGACCAGACGCAGACGCAAACGCAGACGCAGCTACCTGAGGGGACTCAGTGGTCAGTGTGTACAGACTCGAGCCAGGTGCACGGGTGAACGTGGCCAAGTGCCGGCCCGTCCTAGCACACGTACAGTGAGTCACTCGCTGACTCGCAGGAGTGAACTGGTCAACCCCCCCATCCTGGAGGTCAGCTCCACTCACCAAGTTCGTAGAGAACGAGGGGAGGTAAAGACCTGACAGCGAGCCGGACGGGACGGCCGGACACGGCAGAACCGTGGAATAGTGGGCAAGGACTGGACCCCCAGAGGGGTCCGCCAGGGAGACCGGGACTGGCCGACGGAGCGGCGTAAGTGCGGTGCAGTCGCGAAAGAAGGAGCGGGAAGCTCCTGAGTCAAGGGTGAAGGTGTGCGAGACCGCAGTGGGCGCAGTACCAGAGAGAGCAGACACAGCAGCACCTGATGCCACGGCCTCACCAGTACCTAGAGCAGTAGACGTACTAGCACCGAGAGCAGCAGCCTCACCAGCACCTAGAGCAGGAGACGCACTAGCACCTAGGGCAGCAGCCTCACCAGGGTCAGGCGGTACGCACAGGCAACAGGCACGGTCAGCACTAGTAGACAATGCATACATGGCAGTGAGAATAGCATCATAGTCAAGCGCAAAGATATCTACCCTCTGTCTATGCAGCTCCAGCCACGTGGGGAGCTCAGCCTCGTCGCCAAACACTGTGCGCCAGTCGTCGCTCAGACGGGCAAAGCAGCGGGACTGTGTGTGACCAAGCGTCCCACAAGGCTGACCAGTCCTAGCACCTGTGCGAATGACGTACGGGCAGCGGACTGTACGCGTAGACCTGCTACACTGAGCGTACCACTCCTGGAGCTGCCGAGGCGTAAGTGTCTCACGTGGACGTCCCTGCAGCTGCAGCTGGCCACTGCCAGACGCTCCCAACTGACCAGCTCCAGGGCGACAGCTACGACGGCTACCGCGACAACCCCAGCTAGTATACCACTCACTAAGCTGCTGAGGCGTCAGAGGCTCGCGTGAATGTCGCTGGAGCTGCATCTGGCCACCTGCCAGTAGCAGTAGCGCAGGAAAGGCAGGCGCGGCAGGCAGGCAAGCAAGCAGGCAGGCAGGCAGGCCGGCAGGTAGGCAGGCAGCCAGGCAGGCAGGCAGGCAGGCAGACAGGCAGGCAGGCAGGCAGGCCGGCAGGCAGGCAGGCAGCCAGGCCGGCAGGCAGGCAGGCAGACAGGCAGGCCGTCAGGCAGGCAGGCAGGCGCTCACCAAAGGCTGGGAGAGCAGGGCCGGCGCTCGAGTAGGCGCACGACAGCGGCGACGTCGGGGCCGCAAAACCGGCTGCAGAGCAGGGCCGAAACAGCTGGAGGGCGCTGCCGCGTCAGCGGCAGTAGCAGGGTGGGGCCGCGTCAGCGGCAGGTCGGGGTCGTGGCAGCTGCAGGGCGGGGCCGCATCAGCGGCAGGTCGGGGCCATGGCAGCTGCTGGGCGGGGCCGCATCAGCGGCAGGTCGGGGCCGAGGCAAAGGGCCGCGCGCGGCCGCGCTAGGGAGTAGCGGGCCGCGCGCGGCTCGGCGCGGGCTGTTGCGGGCCGCGCGCGGGCCGTGCGAGGCAGGAGCAGGCCTCGCGCGGCTCGGCACGAGCTGCTGCGGGCCGCGCGCGGGCTGCGCGAGGCCGTAGCAGGCCGCGCGCGGCTCGACGCGGTCTTCTGCGGGCTCGGCGCGGGCTGCGCGCGGCAGCTGCGAGCTGCGCGCGGCTCGGTGCGGGCTGCGCGCGGTTGCAGCGGGCTGTGCGCGGCTCGGTGCAGGCTGCGCGCGGCTGCAGCGGGCTGCGCGCGGCTCGGTGCGGGCTGCGCGTGGCTGCAGCGGGCTGCGCGCGACTCGGGGCGGGCTGCGCGATCTCGGTGCGGGCAGCGCGCGGTAGCAGCGTGTGTGCGGGCCCGACAGGCGTGTAGAGGCGGCGCGCGGGCCTTACGGGCCTCTAGGGGAAGCGCGCAGGCAAGGCAAGGCAAGGCAAGGCATACAAGGCAAGGCAAGGCTACGTGGGGTAGCGCGGTAACCGCAGCGGTAGGTGGGCCCGAAAAAAAACGGTCCTACGGACCTTAGTGCTCTGAAACCATGTTAGAATCTAGCAGCAGGAATGGATGAACTAACAGGATGCAGGAGTACAAGTAGTAAACCCTAACTAGGTTGTACCCCATATGGGCTACCCCACTACAGCCTAGACAATATGCAGCACATATAGTTTGACACAGTGCTGCTGCCGTGCTGAGTCAGCATAGCGGTGGTGGTGCTGCCGTGCTTTGTCAGCATAGTGGTGGCGGTGCTGCTGTGCTGAGTCGGCATGGCATTGGTGCTATGCCGAGCACTTCTGCTTTGCTGGTTCAGGGTCACAGGGCAGCAGCGGTGCATTGCTGAGTCAGCATGATGGAGCAGCATGTGTGCGTTCCTAGGTGAATGCATGTCACATGCTGTGCCATGTGTGGTGGTGGCACATGCATCATGCATGTGGTGTACATATAGGCTTGTCATATTGTATTGTACCTACCTGTAGTAGGTGTCAACGTACACATTTGTACAGTTGCACGTGCACTTTGTAGGCTAGGTTGGGTTGTATTATAAAGGGTTTGGGTTACTAGATATACCGCCCCTGTATGCCTCACGTTTGATCCGTCTTGGCATCAGATTAGGTTGGGATCAAGGTTGAATTGAAGACATTTCGAGAATAGGAATTTAATTCAGATTATATAAACTCAGCAAATGAAGTGTTTTTTTCCTCACAAATCAACGACAACAAGCCCCATTAGCGCGCGTCAATTCCACCAACATCAAAATTCGGATGAATCCGAATGGCCAGATTTGCCAAAGTAACCAGTTGGCGAGAATCGCCAACAGTTGTACGAATGTCGCCAACGTCGCGAATTTGACGGCCGGGAAAACGGCCGTTTGGCGAGTCGAAAAGGATCCGCCAGAACATTCGACACGGAATCGGCCACAAATCCGACACGTCCTTGCGACAGTTCCCCATCGCACCGCCCTCTGTCGCCAGCATTGTTCCTGTATTGGTACGAGTCTGCGACGGTGTCGCACGTTTGCTTGCTGTCGCCCGACTGCAAAATTTACAATTTCGATTTAGCGGCCTGCAAATCGGCCTCCAAACGTGTCAAATTTGCAGTTGCGCCCCTTCGGGCCGTTTCCGTTGCGACCATGTTGTCGACCATGTGGCCGAAGTTCGCGAATAAAAATTCGACCAACTGGTCGACGAATTCCGGCCATTTGGCAGTTTCGTGAAAACATGGGGAATTGACGCGCCCTTATTGCCGTACCCTTCGCGTTGACTGGCGCGTTGATATCAGTCGCCTGTTGCTTCTTCGTGATCACCTAGGATGTCCCTTATCTCCCCAGACCGGACCAGTCTGCTTGCACCCGTCCGTCATTAGACCAGTCTGCTCGCATTCGTAGTTAGACCAGTCTGCTTAGCTTCCCCTCGCTTGGTAGGTTCAGAAAATCCTTCCATTAGTCAACCCTAAAGCTTTATTACCATAAATATGGACGATCAATCTCATGTCGAAGCATCACTAGCTCTCCGCACTCCCTTTCTATCTTCCTGCCTTCGAGCCCCACGACCCGCTTCATTCAGTTCCTCACTACAGAAACGCAGTCCACCGCAGTCCACCGCCGTTTTTCAGCAGCAGCTATGGCAGCCAACGGGCTTTTCCTGTCTTTTGTCATTCTTCTCCTCGCGTCGTGCGCGTTGGCGCAGCGCGGTCCGCCTGGCGGTGAGCCGCACGGCCCTCCGCTGAACCTGACGGCCGTAGGGAACATGACGGCGGACGTTAGCGCGCGACTGGCCAATTGCTCCGCTGACCAGACATTCCTGGACGGCCGCTTTCACCTCACCGTCTTCAAGTGAGCTCGAAACACCTGTCGGGTTGTTCCCTTCGAGAATCCTACCCTGGTGCATAAGCTCGTGCGGTCCTGCACCCGTAAATCCATAATATCTCTCTCCCTCCCCCTCCCCCCGTCCCCTCCCCCCCTCTTACCCCCCCCCCCCTCCCCCCCCCCTCCTGTCCCCAGGAACGCCAGCGGCAATTACAACCTCGTGGTCGGCGCGCTGCTCGTCGCCGCCACTGGCGCGCCGCCCGACTCCCTCGCGATCGTGCAGGGCGCCGTGTGCGACGCGTCCGCCGCCGCGCTGCTGGCGCTGCCCGTGGCGGCGTCCGCGTGGCAGCAGCGCGCGGGGTGGTGGCTGCTGCACGCGGAGGCGCGCCTCGACGCGTTCCTCGAGAATGCCGACGCCGCCACCGTCGACGCCCTCCTCGCGCTCCTCCCCACCGCCTCGCTCCCGCCGCGCACCAACTCCACTGCCAGTCAGCCCGGATGGCAGCAGGCGGCAGGCAGCAGGCGCATGGGCATTGGGGCGGGAGGACTGCTGACGCGCGCAGTGGGGCAGCGCGGACAGCAGCAGCAGGGGGCGCAGAAGCCGCCTGCAGGTGGCCTTTCAGGTGGTTTTCCAGGTGCTGGCGGGGTGAACGCGACTGTGAGCGGGTATGCTGTGCTGGCCAGTGCGTCGGATGTGCTGTGGGGCGGGCAGCTCATGGGGGTCAAACTGCCCTCCGCTGCCGCCTGATCAAAACAGCCAATCATCCCCTTGACTGCGCTCAGTACTCACTGCCTGTGCTACTTGTTGGTGCGCCGTGCTGCTGGATGGTGGTGCAAGTCAAGGCCGTACAGAATCAGAGTCAGTGGTGGTGCATGATTCGTGCCCACACAGCAGCTGCCTGGTGGCCAATGCTAGTTTGAGGATGTACTGGTAGATAGACGGGTGGGAAGGGGTTGGGGAGTGTCAAGAGGCAAGGAAATGTTAGTTTCAGCATCAGGGGTAGAAATGCTGGCACGTCACCAGCTGACTTGCCAGCCTTCCTGCCCTTGCTTGTGTTAGCCAGCCTTCATAGGGTTCCTTGGTTTTTCCACAGGGTTATGTAAATCACTGCGATTTCGCCTTGTCGATGTGCCTGTTACCATGTCAATCAAGGCAGGAGGATCAGCACCCTAGACTTTGAAGGGTGCTACACCTCTAGCTTAAGTGTGATATACTGGTACACTAGCCTGAAACCTAGCCTGGTAGCACAAGAAAAATAGCCTGGTAGCCTGGTAACCTTGCCTCTGCCATGGAAGGAACCCGTAGCTGCAAATAGCATTGCATTGCATGAGAAGAATAAAATATCATACACTGGTAAAACTGTAAACACAATGCAATAACGCATCGGGGCAACCACCACCTGTGCACAGTACATTATCGTCGAAAGATCCAGCTACCCTGTCGTTGCCATGTAAACGAATCCCTTGATGACACGCCTTCACTAACCGCTTCTCCATTCTCTTGCTGCCCCTTGTGCAAATCCTCTCCACGCCTCACACTCTCTCTTCCACCACCACCACCCACAGCACCCATGCTCACCCCACTGTGTTGCTGACCAGACCCCGCGTTCCCCAGGGGACCTGCAGCAGTGGAGAGAGAGGCAAAGGCCTTGACGATGGAGCTGAGCCCTCTGGCGCGGCGAGGCGCATGCGGCACTGCAAGCCCTGCAGCAGCAGCACTGCCAGGCCCAGAGGCAGCAGCACTGCCACCAGGCATGATGGCCACGTTGGGGGCGCTGGCAGAGGTGGTGAGGGGTGCGCGCGGTGGCGCTGTGCTTGTTGAGCCATCATCGTGTGTGTGCGCCCTCGCTGCTGCTGCCCACCCCGTCCCCGCCCCCATGCTGTGCTGCGGTGATTCTGATGGTGACGGGGCGAGCGCGGGAGAGGAGGCGGAGGGCGAGGCGGGGCGCATGAGGGACGCCATGCCCTGCAGCGGCCGCGCCAGTCGCCCCAAGCCAAACGACGGCTCCGACGCAACGGCCGCGACCGTACGGGGAGCACTGCTAGAGGTGAACTGGCCGCCACTGCTGGTGGTGGCGGTGGCAGAAAAGGAGTGGTGATGGTGGGGCGACTTGAGGGGTTCTCGGGGGCTGTAGAGGAAGCTGGGTGGCACAGTGGACGAAGGGGAGTCGGGGCCAGGGCGGGGTGCAGTGCGGGAGAAGGAGGAGAAGGAGGAGGAGAAGGAAGAGGAGGATTTTCTGGCGGCCATGGGGTTGAGGGGCCGCAGGAAGGAGAAGAGGGAGGAGACTGGTATGGACCCGTCAGGCCCGGATAGCCGGGCCTGGATCTCAGGTACGGATGGTAGCTCTTGGGTTAGGTCGAGAGGGGGTTTGGGCGGGATGACAGGGATGGTGACAGACACAACCGGTGCAGTGGATGGAGCAGCGGCAGCAGCAGCAGCAGCAGCAGTATCAGTGGGGGCAGAAGCATCAGTAGCAGGAACAGCATTGGGCGATGCAGCGGCAGTGGAGGCCGGATTGCGGCGCACGAGGGGGACAGTGATGGACGCCATGGGGGCAGAGGACGACGAGGGGGCGGGGGGAGTGGCCTGGGTATTGGGCTGAGACGCGCCCAGAGGGGACTGGGATGGGGACGGGGAGGAGAGGGGAGGCGGCGGCGGGGCAGGGAGCGGGGCGGTGGAGACGACCACGTGGGAGCGGCGGGCCTTGCGCTTGGGGGAGAAGAACCGGAAGTGCGACGACCGGCGGGGTTTCTGCTCGATAACCTCCACGGGTGCTTTTGCAGTGCCTTCCTTGTGCCCGTCCTTGCTGCCTGCTGCTGCTGCTGCAGCTGCACCTCGCTGCTGCTCCTGCTGCTGCTTGTGTGCATGCGCGTGGCGCTGCGCCTGCTGCCGCTGCTGCTCCTTGTGCTTCGCCTTGCTGCCTTCCCTGTCCCACATGCTCCCACCCGACCCTGTGTGGCTGGCGCTGCCACTGGCAGGGCGAGCAGTGAAGAGAAACACACCGCTACCAGCGGCAGCAGCAGAGCGGTTGGCAGTGGGAGAGGAGAAGAGGGGCGAGGCAGGGCCGGTGAAGGAGGTAAAGAGGGGCAGCTGGATGGGCGGCGCCTTGGGCTGCTTCTGCCGCCCGCCCTGCTGTGCCGTGCTCGCCCCCTGCTGTGCTGTGCTCGCCCCCTGCTGTGCTGTGCTCGCCCCCTGCTGTGCTGTGCTCGCCCCCTGCTGTGCCGTGCTCACCCCCTGCTGTGCTGTGCTCGCCCCCTGATGTGAGTCCACATCCATGCTGCCATGCGCAGCCGCCCCGGCCCCTTGCTCTTGCCTCCTATCCTCTTTTCTTTGCTCTTCCTGCTTGCCCTCCTGCCTGTCCCCTTCCTCTCCTCGCGCTACCACTGCCCCATTGCCTGTAGCGCCATCCCACGTGGTCCTCTGCGGCTCCACACCACCCATCTCCGTGTCCCTCTCACCCCCACCTGCTGCTGCTGGTGCTGCTGCAGCACCCGCCGCACCGCCCCTCCCACTGCCAACCCCCTCCTTCCCCCCTCCCGCAACTGCACCCTCGCCTGCCTCTGCTGCTGCTTTCACGCGCTCCCCCTCTCCCTTCCCCTCCCTGCCGCCCTCCACCCCGCCCTCGCCCGCCCATCCCGGCGCCCCCACCGGAACACACGGCGCCGGGGCAGGGCGGGGCGAGGGGAGGGTGATGCGGCCGCAGTGGTGCGCGAGCCAGGGGTGGTGCAGCGCGGCGGCAGCGGAGGGGCGGTGGTTGGGGTCGGAGGAGAGCAGCCAGCGCACGAGGTCGATGGCGGCGGGCGCCACGGAGGGCCAGGGCGCGATGGAGAAGTCGGGCTGGTTGCGCAGAATGCGGAAGAACAGCTGCTCGTCCGTGCTGCCCCAAAACGGCATGTAGCCTGGCGGGCACGGGCAGGGGGTGAGCGGGTGGGCGGGGGTTGGGAAGAGGGGCGTTGGTGACGGAAGAAACGGCAGCTGGTGAGTCGCCTCAAAAAAGCGGCAGGTGGTGTGGGAATATGGGAGGGGAAGAGCAGCAGAAATAGCGAGCTTTCGAGGAAGAAGCAGGTTGGGATGCGTGCGCGAGGAGGGCATAGAAGCAAGGAGCGCACCTGATAGAGCGGTGTAGAGGATAACGCCCAGCCCCCAGAGGTCAACAGCGGGGCCGTAGGGGCGGCGACACACGACCTCTGGAGACATGTAGACAGCACTGCCGTACATGCCCACTGCCTGCTGCCCTGCTCGCAGCATCACTGCGAGGCCAAAGTCGGCGAGCTTGAGGTGCAGCTTGCCCGCTGCGTCGTCCCGGGCTGCGAGGAGGATGTTCTCCGGCTTGATGTCCCGATGCACCACTCCTGACGCGTGGCAGTGGTGTAGGGCCAGTAGGATCTGCCTGCAAAGGTGGAGAGAGAGGGATGGGAGCAGGAGAGAGGATGAGGTTCAGCTTGCCTGCTGCGTCGTCCCGGGCGGCGAGGAGAATGTTCTCCGGCTTGATGTCGCGGTGGACCACTCCTGACGCATGGCAGTGGTGCAGGGCTAGTAGGATCTGCCTGCAAGGGGGGCAGTGGGGCGCGGAGAAGGGGGGGATGGTGGGCGGAAAGGGAAGCGGTGGTGAGCGCAGGAGTGGCTTGAGCTGCAGCTTGCCCGCTGCGTCGTCCCGGGCGGCAAGCAGAATGTTCTCTGGCTTGATGTCCCGGTGCCCCACTCCTGACGCGTGGCAGTGGTGTAAGGCGAGCAGGATCTGCCTGTAGGGTGGGGGAGAGGGATGGGAGCAGGAGAGAGGATGGGGCGCAGCTTGCCTGCTGCGTCGTCCCGGGCGGCGAGGAGAATGTTCTCCAGCTTGATGTCGCGGTGGACCACGCCGGACGCGTGGCAGTGATGCAGGGCCAGGAGGATCTGCCTGCTCGAAGGGAGAGGGTGAAGGGAAGAGCGGCAGGACAAGGAGAGAGGAATGGGAGCAGGGTTGTGAGTGCGGGAGTGGCTTGATTGATGTCCCGATGCACCACTCCTGACGCGTGGCAGTGGTGCAGTGGGTGTATGGCCAGCAGGATCTGCCCGTAGGGGGACAGTGGAGCACGGAGTGGGGAAAAGGAAGGAACGACGGGGAAGTAGGGAAGAGCGGGAGGAAAACGCGAAAGAGAGAGTGATGGGAGCAGGGAGCAGAGTGGTGAGTGTGGGAGTGGCTTCATGGCGCAGTGTAGCGCGCCGGATGCGAGGCAGGGGGGCAGGGCGAGCAGGATCTGGCATGGCAGGAATGGCGGGCCTGTGAATGACCCCGTGACGTCAGCGCTCGGCTCACCTGGTGACGTCAGCGGCGAGCGGCTCGGGCAGCGTGGTGCGCGCGATGAGGTAGTCGTAGAGGTCGCCGTGCGCGCACAGGTCCATGACGAGGTGCACGCTCTCCGCGTCCTCGAACAGCGCGCGCAGCGCCACCACGTGCGCGTGCCCCCCCACGCGCCGCATCGCCGCCACCTCCCCCTGCAGCTCCTCGCGCGCCTCCTTGCGCTGCGCGCGCGGACGGCGGTGAGCGCGCGTGGTGGTCGCGCGGGGAGCAGCAGTTGCGCGGACGGGTGAATGCGGGGAGGAGCAGAGAAGCGGGACGCAGAGGACGGAGCAGCGGGGGAGATGCGGAGAAGGAACGATGAAAGGGTTAGGGAAAAAAAAACAGGGAATGCGACGGGGATAACGAGAAGCGCGAAGCTTGGAACAAAGTCTAACCCGCGTTCTCGCCATTCCCCCTCAACGCGCTATTCCCCCTCAGGGCACTATTCCCCTTCAGGGCACTATTCCCCCTCAACGCGCCAATCCCCCTCAACGCGTCACTCCCCCTCAGCGCGCCGCTCCCCCTCACCACGCCATGCTCTTTCAGAACGCAGTTCCCGCCCATTCAACGACCCATCGACGTCTGCACGCCCGTCCGCCGTGAGTGTGTCCCCGCAGCCGTGCGCATTCTCGCCGTTTTGACCTGCCCCTCCGCACCCACCTCAAACCCCCCCTACTCCCTCCCTCCCCCCGCTCCGCGCGCACCTGCAGCTTGCATTTCGGAATGCTCTTGCACGCCGCGACAGCCTCGCCCGTCGCCACATCGCCGCAAACCCTAACCACGCCGCCGCCGCCCTTCCCCAGCTCCCGCCCCAGCTGATAACGACTTCTCACGTCCGCTCGAGACGCGGACGGAAATATAGGGTTCGGAATGGTCATCGCGGCGGGGAGAGCGAGAAGGAAGCTCTGCTAGATAAAAAAGGAAGAATGAGCGGCTTGATGTTTCCAGAGTGAGTGGCTAGATCGTCGCTGTTTTGACGAAAAATGTGTGTCTTAGCAACGAGATCGTGAAAGGTAAGCGGACATGGCGAGGAGTAGTCCCATGTCGAAGTTTCGAGGGGCGTATGGAATCGCGAACGCCGCTCTGAAAAGGTAACGAGGCTCAAACTCTCCCCTTCGCTAGTTAGCCACGCCAGATGCTGCTTATAATTCGAATGCCAAGAACCTATCCTCTGCTTACGATCGATCATCGATGCTTGGGACGCGCCATGAATATCGCTGGAACAGCGCAAGCAAAAAGGTGAGAGGTGGGGGAAACCTGTTCCGCGCCAAGAAAGAAATTCGCCAGATGGCGATGAGAAGGTCGTCGCCTCACCTCGCACGGATCGTGTGCGTCGCCTTGGATTGGCGGCTGTGTCGCGAAGGTTCGCAACCCAACTGGACCGTCGCACCTGTGCTGCGGGTGAAGTTCTCAGTTTATAGGGGCGTCAGCTGGGTCCGATATACAAAGCGACGAGCTACTAAGTGTACTGATATATGATCTGGCAGGTTGGGCTACAAAAACGATATCAGGAAGGAAAAGTGGTTGGACAAAGAACTGAATAATGAACGAACGACATGAAAGACCAGAGAAACAATAATATTAATGCTTTATTCTACCACCATGGATTACTGAAGCTTCCAGGTAGTGAACGAAGCGAATTAGCATATGTGAGGATGCGTGCACAACGGAGACGCATGGTCCCTATCCGCTAGCGGACACACAGCGCTGAGTGCTTCAGCGGGGCGAGGGAATGTACATGCCGTTGCCTCTCGTGGACTCCAATCTGGGCGGCACAGAGAGACACAAGAGAAACGCCAGGCGAGTGCACGCGTGGCAAGCAAGGGATTTGAGTTACTCTGACACGAGCTGCATGGGTCATGTCACAGGCAGGGGGGCAAACGAGGGGGCAGGGCCAGAGGACAGAGCAGGCAGGGCCAGAGGACAGAGCAGACAGGGCCAGAGGACAGAGCAGGCAGGGCCATAGGACAGAGCAGAGGGGTGGGAGGGCATACGAGGGGGCGAGGTGGCCGAGGTGGGAGACGAGGGCGTTGGAGGCAGCGTCACGCAGGTGCCCCGAGGCGTCCAGCGTGTACTGCCGCTGCGCTGCCCCCGGCATGCCCCGCCGTGTGAGCGGCGCCAGGTCGCGCTGGCACAGCTCACGGCCGTTCACCAGCACACGCGTGCGCCCCCCTGAACAGTCCCGCCTCATCGGCTCCCTCAGCTGTGGTATGTTGGCCTAGGGGAGGGGGGAGGGGGGAGGGGGGAGGGGGGAGGGGGGAGGGGGGAGGGGGGAGGGGGGAGGGGGGGGGAGGGGGGGGGGGGAGGGGGGGGGGGGGGAGGGGGGGGGGGGGGAGGGGGGAGGGGGGGGGGGGGGGGGGGAGTGCATTCAGGGTTGCAGGGGAAGGGAGAGGGAGAAGAAAGGGGAGAAGAGTGCGACAGAAGAAGATATAAGGGGATGACGAAGAGGGGAGAATGAAACATTTGCACCTAGAAACGGAAACAGAAAGAACTGCTCGAGGAGAGGAGAGAGAAAAAACGGAAAGATTTGCACAAAAAAATGTTACGTGGAAACAAACAGAGCAGACTTTAGCGGAGCAGGGATGCAGCGGATGCGAGCAGGGAGGTGTAGGAGGTGCAAGGAGGTGCAAGGTGGTGCAAGAAGGTGCAAGGAGGTGCAAGGAGGTGCAGGGAGGTGCAGGGCGCAACTCACAGGCAGAATGCCGAGGCTGGGCCCACCCACAACTCCCCAGAAGCCAGCTCGCGCGTCGTACCTGCAGAGAGGTGCAGGGGAGCAGAGTGGGATAAGCGGGCAAGCTGAGAGTGCAGGCACGGCACACTGAGCAAGGAAGCATGGCACACGGACTTGTGTGTGAAAAGGGAACGAGGGAGAAGAGAGGGGGAGAGGAGGTGGGAAGAGGGATGAAGGGGTGGGATGATGGAACAATTGAAGGAAGTGAGAGAGAGAGGGAGGATTAAGAAGGAGGTATGGGAGGTTGGAGGAGCAGGTCATATGGGAGGGAAGAGGGGGGCACCAGTAGTGGCCGGGGTCGATGGGCCCCGCCAGCAGCTCTGCCTGCTGCACGTCTGCATCGCTGATGGCTGCACCGTTCACCACCACTCTCCGCTCATACGCCTCCCCCTCCCTCGCGCCGCCCCGCTCCCCCGCCCACTCACTGCCGCTGTCACCGCTCCACTGAACACTGCCCCCTCCCCCACTCCACTCCGTGCTCGCCCCCCCACTCCACTCGCTCCCCATGCTGCCCCCCACCCACCCCTCCCCCTCTCCCTCTATCTCCTGCCCCTCTCCTCCGCCCGTCTGTCCCTCCCACCCTTCCGCCCCACACCCTGCCCCTTCCCACTCGCCCTCCCTCTCTCTGCCACTCACACGCACCGCCACATCCGCCCCATCCCCGTCCTCTGCGTCTCCCTCCTGCTCCACGCAGCTCCCACCTCCCCGCTCTCTCCCCCCTCCTGCCCCTCCCCCCACAATGCCATTGACAGCCCTCCCTGCGCTCCCTGCCCCTGAATACCCCTTGAGGGGCGACGGGGCGGGGTTGCCTCTAGCACGGGCGAGGCGGGGCGAGGGCACGCTGAGGGGCGACAGGTCTCTCGTCACGTCCCCCCGCCTGCTCCCCACGCCCTGCCTCCCCCCCTGCCAGCCCCCCCCCGCCCCCCTCGACCCACTCTCCTGGCTTGTGCTCCTGGGCACGCCTTGGGGGGACTGGGGGGCCGCCCTGGGCGTGGCATTGGGGGAACTGGGGGAGCCGTGGGGGCTGGAGGGGATGGCGGGGGGAAGGCGCGCGAGGGGGGAGGAGAGGGAGCGGTAGGGGGAGGCGAGGGGGTGCCGGGGGGATGGGCTGAGGGACGCTGATGGTGAGGAGAGGGGGTGGGCGGGGGCGAAGGGCGGCTGGTAGGGTTGTTGAGAGTGGGAGGGGAGGGGCGGGGTGGCGAAGGTGGAGACCTGCTGGCAGCCTCCGCACCGCAGCTTCTGCGTGCCTCCCTGCTTGCGCCGCCGCGGCATGGGCGGCACGGCGAGGGCTTGCGAGCAGTGCGGACACTGATGGGGTAGGGGGGGGGAGAATAGTGGGGAGGCGTGGATTGAATGAGAGGTGGTGAGGGCGGGTTGGTGGTCACGAAAGAGCCGAATCTCGAAGTCATATAGACGATGGGTTGGTGGAAGAGAAGGAGATTGCATGTGAAGGGTGATGCATGTGAGGGGTGATGCATGTGACGGGCGATGCATGTGACGGGCAATGCACCAGTGCCTGCACTGGTGGGGGCCAGGCAGAGGGGTGGGACAGGTGGATGTAAGGGCCGTAGGGGAAATTGGGGGTCATGAAAATTGCCCTATCCCGACATGCCCTAGAGGTGTTATGTAGAAGAGGGGTGGGCGGACGAGGAGGAAGCGAAGTGGCAAGAGGAGTGCTTTTGAGTGAGAATGATTAGATAAGGGTTGCTGAAAATAAGGGTGGAGCAGAGGGAGCAGGGGGGGGTAGGGGGTAGTGACAGTACGAATATGATTATAGTGCGAGATAGAGAAGTATCGATGCGGCCTTACCTGCACGACTTGAGGGGCGTCTGGCGGCGGCAGGCACGGCAGGTCAGCACTCACTGCACCACCGCCCTCCCTTGCCTCCTTCACCACCTCCCCCTCCCCCTCCTCAACTTCCCCCACCTCGCCAGGTGCCCCTGCATCGCCCACGCTCCCTGCCTGCCTCGCATCACCACCACCCTCCACATCTGCACCTCGGCTGCCCTCCCCTCCGCCCTGCACGCTGCTACCCACAGCACCGCCCTCACTAGAAGCCCTTTCAGCACCAGCAGCAGCGGCAGCAGCAGCAGCACCAGCAGCACCAGCAGCAGCAGCAGCAGCACCAGCGGCAGCAGCAGCAGCAGATGCCGCGTCTCTCGCTGCCTTGCCTCGCAGACCCGACTTGCGTCTCTCCAGCACACTACCCGCTCCTCTGCCCGCGCCCATGCCCCGCCCGCCGTGCCACTCCGGCAGCAGGCGCGGGCTCTGCAGAGCCTCAGCGAAGCGTGACCGCGGGGTGGCGGGCATGGCAGGGGCGGGTTGCGTTCCCCCGCTGCCACTTGCAGCACCCCGGGAAGCGGCCTGGGCAGCAGCAGCAGCAGCAGCAGCAGCGGCCTCGGCAGCGCGTTTCATCTCCATGTACTGCCGCCGCGTCACCTTCATCTTCGCTGGCCCCTCCTCCCCCTCCGCCGCCTCCAAGGCTCCACCCTTCTCTCCCCTGCTCTCTCCGTTCGCTGCACTCTCCCTGCCCGATCGGCTGCCATCAGCCTCACTTGCTTGGCTGCCCTCCCCTCTGTCCGATTCCCCACGCCCCTCTGCTGCTCCGCCCTCCGCCCTGCCACTGCCCCTCGCCTCCTCCGCCCCTGCATTCCCAGCCGCCGCTGCATCCCCTCCCACCGATGCCATGCGCGCTACAGCCTGCAGGGCTGTTGCCTGCAGGGCTGCTGCCCCCCGCATGGGTGACCCAGGAGCGCTGCCCGTGGCATGGGTGCCCACCATGCCCGCCCCGCCCCTCACTTCCCTTGCACTCTGAAAGCTGCGCGCTATGTGGCGACTGCTGGACACAGCAGGGGAGAGAGGCGAGGGGGAGAGGGGTGACGGGGAGAGAGGTGAGGGGGAGGGCGGTGCACCAGCAGCGGTATCTGCCTGCACGCCCTCTCCCTGCGACACCCCCACCTCCCCTTCGCTCTCGTCCCCCTCAACACCATTACACCCCGTTGCATTCTCTCCTCCTGCGCCGGCTGCCCCAGCAGCCAGGCGGCGAGGCACGGAGAGCGAGCGGTGCATAGAGGAGGAGGAGCGGGGAGAGTGCGTGGAGGGGGCGAGCACAGCGGGCGAGAAGTGGAAAGCCATCGACGCATGCCTCGTTGGGACCCTGCCGCTGCCGCTGCCGCTGTCATCATCGCACGTGCCGCCCTCTGCACTCCCGCCCGTGCCACTGCCCATGCGCCCACTCGTGTGCGACCGGAACAGCCCCGCTGCCTCATTCCCCTCCGCGCCCCCCTCGTCGCCCACCTGCATGCCCCCTCGCCCCATCCCGCCTGTGGGCGAGCGCCGTGAGTCCGTGTTGCTGCGCTGCATGGGAGGCCCACTGCTGCCGCTGTTGTTGATGCTGTTGCTGTTATTACTCATGCTGCTGCGAGGAGAGGCACCCGGCTTGGCCTCCCACAGCGACTTGAGCTTCGACCCGATGCTGATGTTCATGTTGCGCCGCTCCCGTCCCCTGCCCCCTTCCCTCCCCTCCCTCCCTTCCCTTGCCTTCTCCTCGCCCTCGCCTGCTGACGTGGCAGGCAAGCTGCCCTGTCGGTCCAGGTCAGCAGGCGGGTCCCAGTCACTCCCCCCCGCCCCTCTCAACCCCTGAGGTTCAACCTCCCCACTGCGACCGTCGCTTTGGTTAGCAGTGGAGCAGCGGGGAGGGGCGGTGTACTGGCGAGTGAAGGTGCCCACCCCCCCCTCCTCGCCCTCGCTGCTCTCCCCCTCGCCCTCCCCCGCGCCCCCTCTTCGCCCCGCCCCCACGCCCGTCCCCGCACTGGCCAGCTGCGCTGCTGCGCTGCTCTCCCCTTCCCGCTGTGCAGCGGGCGAGGCGTGACGGGAGAAGAGGCGACGAAGCGACATGGAGGGGGCCAGTGCACCTGATGATGGCGCTGCTGCTGATGCTGTTGATGATGATGGTGGGGATACGCCCCCGCCGCCGCCGCCGCTGCTGCTGCTGCTGCCGAACCCCCCAAGCCCAACCCCATGCCCATGCTCGCGTTCATGCTCGCACTCATGCTCAGTCTCCTCCCACTGCCCCCCCTCCCCCCCTCCCCATCCATGCTCCCTCTGCTGCCCTGCCGCCCGCTCCTGCTGATGCCATACCCGCTATCCATGCTCTGGGTGCACGCCACTCCCCCATCCATGTCTCCCCCCATGCTTCCGCCCATGCTTCCGCCCATGCTCCCCCCCATATCCCCCTCCGACCATGCTGCATCTATCTCCGCCCACCCCTTCGGCCACACCACTGCCTCCCCTTCTTCCGCCTCCTCCCCCTCCTCTCCCCTTTCCTCCCCCTCCCGCTCGCTGTTCCCCTCCCCCTGCGCCCACCTCCCGCTCCCCCCTGACCCCGCCCACATGCCAGACCCCAGCGCCCTCCGCCTTGCCGCGCCCGGTCGGGCGGAGGAGCGCGGGGAGGGCGCCTGGAGGGGACTGGCGTGGCGGGGCAGGCGCGGGGGAAGGGTGGACTGGCGCCCAAACGCGGCGGAGGGGTTGGGGGGGCTGCTGGCTGTCGCCACTGGCGCGCCCCCCTCGTCCCCCTCGCCCTGCCCCCACTCCCCACTGCCCTCCTCCTCCCGCCCGCCACCCTGCGCCCATGCCTGCGCCCCTCCGCCACTGACCTCCTCCCCCCTGCCCCTGCGGTAAGGCGAGTCCGCCTGGCCGCCGAATCCGCCCTCCCCTGGCTCCGCCCCTCCGCCCTTCCCCTCCCCCGCCCATGCCCCTGCGCCCGCCTCCGCGGGCTCTTCCTCCTCCGCGCCCTCGTCCCCCCACTCCGCCATCTCGTGGCCAAACAGCGTTGCCCGCGCGCCCGCCCCGCCGCGCCCAGCAAAGGAGGCGGAGAGGGCGCGCGGGCGGAAGGAGAGGGACGAGGGGTCGGCGGAAAGGGAGGTGCGCGGGGAAGAGGAGGCCGCGGACGCGCGGGGAGAGGCGGAGGCGGGAGTATTCTGAAGCGTGGAGGAGGATGCGCCTTGCGAGAGAGACTTGGAGATCTGCGGGGGGCGCGGAGGGGTGGCGTGCGGCGACGCGAAGAGAGACGGCGGGGGGCGGTCCGCGCTGTGGTTGCGCGGAACGGGGGGCCCGCGCGAGTGGGGCGGCGGGAGGGGGGAGAAGGAGGCGGACGAGCGTCCTCCGACGTCAATGCCGACGGGGTGGCGCGGCACTCCCCCGTACACGGCGTGGCGCGCTGCGCGCACGAGATGGGGGCAATGGGAGCGGGGAAACGGGTGAGCGGGCGGAACGAAGGTGGGGAGGGTAAGGACGCATGCGGGGCACGAGAGAACAAGAGCGAGGGCCTATGGAGGAAATGCATTAATCTAGCTAAAAAAAAAAATCCTCGGAGAGAGAGTTGCGGGGAGCAGCGCGCGTTACCCTGCAGGACGGTCATGCAGCTGCCGCACTTGTAGAAAGGGTTGCCCGGCGGCGGCTCCTGCAGCACGGCGCGGCAGCGCGGGCACTGCACCATGCGCGCCATGCCGCTCAACCGCGCGCGCTATGCGAGAGGTAAGGCGGAACCGGAGCCGCGGAAACAAAGTAATGGCGAGATGATGGCGCGGCACGCGGCGCGCCGTGGCGCAATGTGGCGACGAGACTAACGGAGCGGCCAGCGGCGAGAGGGGAGAGCACGGGAAAGCGGAGAAAGCGGCGGAGAGGAGCCGCATGCCGCAGGGGTGGCTTGTGAGTCGTACGGTCGGAACTAGGTTGCTGCTGTGCCACGACAAAACGGCGGTGGCTATGCTTTGAGCATTGCTGTCAGCGCGCGAGGGGGGATGACGGTGTGAGCTGGGTTTCTCGCAGCACTGTGCGAGTGAGGCCGTACCTTCACTGACTGTTTGTCCACGAACGTGGAAACCCTCTTCGCCACTGTCATAATGCGTTAGCGGGAGCCCAAAATCTACATCCTGTCAGCTTGAGGAAGTGTACATATTGGTAAACTCTATATTTCTGTGAAATGTACAAACCGGATACTTCTTCAATTATTCAGAAACACATCAGCTCATCTTATAGTTTTTTTTCCCAATAAAAACGACAAGATTCACCTTATGTGAGCGTATGTAAACTGGATAACACCGAAGGCTTTGCAGGACAATATGGAACGGTGTGGCACAAGGGTAGCGAGAACCTCTGTAACGAGTTTGTCGCAACCCCAGATCATTATCAGAATTTTTTAGTAAACTATGTCTCACCTCGTCTCGTACAACGCAGCCAGTTCGATCGCACGTAAGCGTCATTCACAGAGATAATGCGAGAGCTTCGCGACCGTCACTCCAACTCTCCCGCCGCTCCCTCTCCCTTGTCGCTTTCTCTCCCTTGTCGCTCACTCACTTCCGTCGCTTCCGTTCTCCTGTTACTCCCTCTCCCGTCACTCCCTCTCCCGTCACTTCCTCTCCCGTAATTCCCCAAAGAATTCCTGTCGTTTTATTTTGGTCAGGCATTTGAAAGATAGCAATTCGGCCCGTAAGATTTAGCTAGCCAATCCTATCTCTCTTTTCCGACCGCTCGATACTCCCCGCGAGCACTCCGCCAATCCCCCCTCTCTTTCCCCCGGAACTCCGCCACCCCCCGTTCTCTTCCTGCGAGCTCTCCCCCCCCTTCTCCCCCCTCTCCTCCCTTGCGCGCAATGGCGGAGCCGATGGACGTAGACCCCGCGGAAGCAGGCTTGCGGAAGGCGCGGGATAAGGGGAAGGGGAAGGTGGACGAGGGGGGGAAGGGGAAGGGAAAGGCGGAAGACGTGGCGGACGGGTCGCGCGGCGCCGCGGCCGCCTCTGCGATGCCGTGGGTGGAGAAGTACCGACCCAAGTCGCTTGCCGACGTGGCAGCGCATAAAGACATCGTGGATACGAGTTAGTATGGGGGCGGGGAGGGTACTGGCGGCGTGATCTGTGGCGCCGTGTCTCTTTTCCAACCCTCCTTACCTCTTCTCTTCTCCCATCCCTCTTCCATGCTGCAGTCAGCCGCCTAACAGCATCCAACCGCCTGCCCCATCTGCTGCTATACGGCCCGCCCGGCACGGGGAAGTCATCAACGGTGCTGGCGGTGGCGCGGCAGCTGTACGGGGCGGGGCGGGCTCCATCACTGCCCAACCCTCCTTTACTCTCTCATCCCTTCTTTTACCTCCCCCCTTTCTCCCTTTCTCGCCCCTCCCTCCTCCCTTCCTACTGCTGCTTGTCTTTCACAACCCTCACCCCTACCACACAGTCAGCCGTCTAACCGCGTCCAACCGCCTGCCGCATCTGCTGCTGTACGGGCCGCCCGGCACGGGGAAAACCTCAACGGAGCTGGCGGTGGCACGGTCTCTTTTCCAACTCTCCTTACCTTCTCCCTTCTCCCATCCCCCTTCCCGGCTGCAGTCGGCCGCCTAACCGCGTCCAACCGCCTGCCCCATCTGCTGCTGTACGGCCCGCCCGGCACGGGCAAGACGTCAACGGTGCTGGCAGTGGCGCGGCAGCTGTACGGAGCGGGGGGCGTGCGGAACATGTGTCTGGAGCTGAATGCGAGTGACGAGAGGGGCATTGATGTGGTGCGGCAGCAGGTGCAGGACTTCGCTTCTACCCAGTCAATCAGCTTCGGGTGAGTCAACGCGAGTCAACGCGAGTCAACGTGAGTCAATGAGGCAGCTGTACGGGGCGGGGGGCGTGAGGAACATGTGTCTGGAGCTCAACGCCAGTGACGAGAGGGGCATTGACGTCGTGCGGCAGCAGGTGCAGGACTTCGCCTCCACTCAGTCAATCAGCTTCGGGTGAGTCAACGCCAGTCACGTCAATCTCTTTTGCATCGCATCCATCAATTGTTTCTCTTCGTCTCTCCTGCTTTCCTTCATTTGTCATGCGTTTCCGAATTTCTGGAGCTAAGTTTCTGATGATTATTCTCCCCCGTTCCCCACCACACCTCTTTCCCTCAGTGAAGCTGATAGTGCTGAACGACGCGACTCTTCAATCATCATCTTCCCCTCCTTTCCCATCGGCATCCCTGCCCTTCCCTTCGCCCTCCCCTTAACTTCGTCATATCTTCCCATCCCGGTTCTCCCCTTGCCGCTCCCCCCGTGCAGAGCCAAGGCGGCGGTGAAGCTGGTGGTGCTGGACGAGGCGGACGCCATGACCAAGGACGCGCAGTTCTCCCTGCGCCGCGGTCAGTGCCCCTGCTGTTCTTCTGTGACTGAGTGCTAGAGTGGGAGAGGGGGAGTGTTGGGGAGTGGGCGAGTGGGGGAGTGGGGGAGTGGACGAGGCGGACGCCATTACTAAGGACGCCCAGTTCTCCCTGTGCCGCGGTGCGTGCTGACCCTGCTCTGCTCTGCTGCCCCCGCTCTGCTCTGCTGCCCCCGCTCTGCTCTGCTGCCCCGGCTCTGCTCTGCTGCCCCCGCTCTGCTCTGCTGCCCCGGCTCTGCTCTGCTGCCCCCGCTCTGCTCTGCTGCCCCCGCTCTGCTCTGCTGCCCCCGCTCTGCTCTGCTGCCCCGGCTCTGCTCTGCTGCCCCCGCTCTGCTCTGCTGCCCCCGCTCTGCTCTGCTGCCCCCGCTCTGCTCTGCTGCCCCCGCTCTGCTCTGCTGCCCCCGCTCTGCTCTGCTGCCCCCGCTCTGCTCTGCTGCCCCCGCTCTGCTCTGCTCCCCCCGCTCTGCTCTGCTGCCCCCGCTCTGCTCTGCTGCCCCCGCTCTGCTCTGCTGCCCCCGCTCTGCTCTGCTGCCCCCGCTCTGCTCTGCTGCCCCCGCTCTGCTCTGCTGCCCCCGCTCTGCTCTGCTGCCCCCGCTCTGCTCTGCTGCCCCCGCTCTGCTCTGCTGCCCCTGCTTTGCTGCGCTCAATGCGCGTGTGGGAGAGTGCGAGATTTGGAGAGTGAGAGGGTGGGAGAGTGAGTGAGAGTGTGGTAACTCTTGTTCTCTGCCACAAGCCCAGTCTATGCCTTCCCCACCACCACACCATTTCTTTCCCTTGCACATGCAACCGTTTCTTCCCAGTCATCTTCGCCCTCTCCCTCCCAATTCTCACCCACCCCTTCCCTCACTCCCATTTCCTCACCTTCCGTTTCCTTTTTCTATCCTGCCCTGCCCCCTCCCCTTCTCCCTCCCCCTCCCCCTCCCTCTCCTCCTCCCCAGTGATAGAGAAGTACACGCGCAGCACGCGCTTTTGTCTCATCTGCAACCACGTCAGCAAGATCATTCCCGCCCTCCAATCGCGCTGCACGCGCTTCCGCTTCGCCCCGCTCTCCTCTGCTGACGTCACTGCCAGGCTCAGACACGTCATCCAGGAAGAGGGGTGAGTAGTTGAGGCGGAAAGGTAGAGAGGAGGGTGAATGGTGACTAGGTGAATGGTGGGAAGGCGTGCGTACATACATGTTAAGGTGCCTGAAAAATATGATGGTGAATGGGGAAGGGTCGTGTGGTTGGTTGACAGGGATGGGGAAGATGATTGTGGGTTGGGTTGGCTCGACGAAAGGGGCGAACGGGTGACGACGGGGCAGGCAGGCTGGCTGAGTGTTGACTGGGAGGGGTGAGAAACATGTGAGGCATACTTTACCATACTGGACTTGCAGGATGAGCCGTGACCGCCGCTGCCATAGGTACACCGCCACCCACTCACCCATCTCTCTCTCTTTCTCTCCCCTCTGTGCCGCCCAGCCAGTCTGGATGTGACAGATGGCGCGCTGTCAGCCGTTGTGAGCCTCAGTGCGGGTGACATGCGCCGCGCCCTCAACATCTTGCAGGTACCGCCTCCCTCAGGTACCGCCTCCCTCAGGTACTGCCTCCCTCAGGTACACCTTGTGCATTTGCCTCCTCGCCCCACCCAGCGGCCATCCTCTCCCACCCTTCCACCACGTCAATCACCCTCACAGAGGAGGCGGGGCGCTGTGTGTGTGTGTGTGTGTGTGTGTGTGTGTGTGTGTGTGTGTGTGTGCGTGCGTGCGTGCGTGCGTGCGTGCGTGCGTGCGTGCGTGCGTGCGTGCGTGCGTGCGTGCGTGCGTGCGTGCGTGCGTGCGTGTGTCAGCTCAGGCAACCCCATGCCTCCCTCCCACTCCTCCATTTCCCCCTTCCTTCTTTATACCCGCACCCCTAGTCCACCCACCACGTGCCGAGCCTCACGTGTTGTTATCCCCTCTTCTCCTCCCCCACACCGTCCCGGTGCTCATCATTCGCTAGTCCAAGCACATGTCGTGCCCAGCCACCATGACAGAGGAAGCGGTGCATGCCAGCACCTGCAACCTCACACCCTCATACCCTCGTTTCCCATCTCACCCTCCTGTCACCCCTTCCTCCCTGTCCCCCTGCAACCCCCTCAGTCCACTCCACGCGCATGTTGTGCCCCACGGTCGTGACAGAGGAGGCGCTGTATGCCAGCACAGCACTTGAAGCCTAGTACCCTTCTCCTTCCACCCTTTCCCCTGTCCCCCTGCGCCCCCCTCAGTCCACACACATGTCATGCCCCACTGTCATGACGGAGGAGGCGGTGTATGCCAGCACAGGCAACCCCATGCCCAAGGACATTCAGCAGATGGCGCACTGGCTGCTCAACGAACCGTTCTGCACCGCACTGCAACGTGAGCCGATCACTGGCACCGCAATGCAGCATGGATTTGAGCCCACCGCATGAGCCACCAGCCCCACCGCATGAGCCACCAGCCCCACCGCATGAGCCACCAGCCCCATCGCATGAGAGGCATGTTGATCATCCGCTTACAGTCTCCCGCGGTACAAGCCCTCCTTAGGTCTGCCATGAACAAGCCCTCCTTGCCTCCCCCTCTCCTGCCCGCCCGGCTCCACCCCCCTTTCTCATCCTGCCTCTTCCTCTCCCTGCTTCTCTCCCTGCCTGGCTTCCCCTTTCCCCCACTCCGGCCTCCCTCTCTCCTCTCCTACATCCCTCTCACCCTGCCTGCCCCCCTCCCCCTCTCCCTCGAGACAGGCATACAGCGAGTGAAGGAGGTGAAGGGACTGGCGCTCATAGACATTGTGCGCTACCTGCACGGGTATGTGTGTGTGTGGCTATGTGCTGTGCGGTCTGCATGGGTATGTGCGCTACCTGCACGGGTATGTATGTGTGTGGCTCTGTGCTGTGCGGGTTGTGTGCGCTACCTGCATGGGTTTGTGTGCTACCTGAATGGGTTTGTGCGCTACCTGCATGGGTATGTGTGTGTGTGTCTATGTGCTGTGGGGTCTGCATGGCTGTGTGCTCTACCTGCATGGGTATGTCTATGTGTGGGTACTTGCTGTGCGGTCGGTTGTGTTGTACTACATGGGTATGTCTTTTGAGCTGACTCAAAAGTCTTCTGCATGCCAACAGCACCCGACGTGCCACTGCAGCTAGTGGCATGGCATGCATCCTCAAATCTCGTCCTCACTCCGCCTCTTGCCTGCCTGTCCCGTCTTCCCCATGGCCTAACCCCCTCTCCCCCCCTGCACTGCAGGTTCATCCCCACAGTGGACATGCCTGCACATGTGCCCGTCGCCTCAAATGACATCGCCACGCTGCTCCTCTCCTGCATGCCCCGTCTTTTCCATTTTCTAACCCTCCCCGCCCTCTCCCCCTGACTGCAGGTTCATCCTCACAGTGGACATGCCAGCCAATGTGCGCATTGACCTCTTTGATGCTATGGCTGACATTGAGTACGTTCCCTCCACCCTGCCGCCCTCCCTCCACCCTGCCGCCCTCCCTCCACCCTGCCGCCCTGCCGCCCCCTCCACCCTGCCGCCCTCCTCCACCCTGCCGCCCTCCTCCACCCTGCCGCCCTCCATCCACCCTGCCGCCCTCCCTCCACCCTGCCGCCCTCCCTCCACCCTGCCGCCCTCCCTCCACCCTGCCGCCCTCCCTCCACCCTGCCGCCCTCCCTCCACCCTGCCGCCCTCCCTCCACCCTGCCGCCCTCCATCCACCCTGCCGCCCTCCATCCACCCTGCCGCCCTCCTCCACCCTGCCGCCCTCCCTCCACCCTGCCGCCCTCCCTCCACCCTGCCGCCCTCCCTCCACCCTGCCGCCCTCCCTCCACCCTGCCGCCCTCCCTCCACCCTGCCGCCCTCCCTCCACCCTGCCGCCCTCCCTCCACCCTGCCGCCCTCCCTCCACCCTGCCGCCCTCCCTCCACCCTGCCGCCCTCCCTCCACCCTGCCGCCCTCCCTCCACCCTGCCGCCCTCCTCCACCCTGCCGCCCTCCATCCACCCTGCCGCCCTCCATCCACCCTGCCGCCCTCCATCCACCCTGCCGCCCTCCATCCACCCTGCCGCCCTCCATCCACCCTGCCGCCCTCCATCCACCCTGCCGCCCTCCATCCACCCTGCCGCCCTCCATCCACCCTGCCGCCCTCCATCCACCCTGCCGCCCTCCATCCACCCTGCCGCCCTCCATCCACCCTGCCGCCCTCCATCCACCCTGCCGCCCTCCATCCACCCTGCCGCCCTCCATCCACCCTGCCGCCCTCCATCCACCCTGCCGCCCTCCATCCACCCTGCCGCCCTCCATCCACCCTGCCGCCCTCCATCCACCCTGCCGCCCTCCATCCACCCTGCCGCCCTCCATCCACCCTGCCGCCCTCCATCCACCCTGCCGCCCTCCATCCACCCTGCCGCCCTCCATCCACCCTGCCGCCCTCCATCCACCCTGCCGCCCTCCATCCACCCTGCCGCCCTCCATCCACCCTGCCGCCCTCCATCCACCCTGCCGCCCTCCATCCACCCTGCCGCCCTCCATCCACCCTGCCGCCCTCCATCCACCCTGCCGCCCTCCATCCACCCTGCCGCCCTCCATCCACCCTGCCGCCCTCCATCCACCCTGCCGCCCTCCATCCACCCTGCCGCCCTCCATCCACCCTGCCGCCCTCCATCCACCCTGCCGCCCTCCATCCACCCTGCCGCCCTCCATCCACCCTGCCGCCCTCCATCCACCCTGCCGCCCTCCCTCCACCCTGCCGCCCTCCCTCCACCCTGCCGCCCTCCCTCCACCCTGCCGCCCTCCCTCCACCCTGCCGCCCTCCCTCCACCCTGCCGCCCTCCCTCCACCCTGCCGCCCTCCCTCCACCCTGCCGCCCTCCATCCACCCTGCCGCCCTCCATCCACCCTGCCGCCCTCCATCCACCCTGCCGCCCTCCCTCCACCCTGCCGCCCTCCATCCACCCTGCCGCCCTCCATCCACCCTGCCGCCCTCCATCCACCCTGCCGCCCTCCATCCACCCTGCCGCCCTCCATCCACCCTGCCGCCCTCCATCCACCCTGCCGCCCTCCATCCACCCTGCCGCCCTCCATCCACCCTGCCGCCCTCCATCCACCCTGCCGCCCTCCATCCACCCTGCCGCCCTCCATCCACCCTGCCGCCCTCCATCCACCCTGCCGCCCTCCATCCACCCTGCCGCCCTCCATCCACCCTGCCGCCCTCCATCCACCCTGCCGCCCTCCATCCACCCTGCCGCCCTCCATCCACCCTGCCGCCCTCCATCCACCCTGCCGCCCTCCATCCACCCTGCCGCCCTCCATCCACCCTGCCGCCCTCCATCCACCCTGCCGCCCTCCATCCACCCTGCCGCCCTCCATCCACCCTGCCGCCCTCCATCCACCCTGCCGCCCTCCATCCACCCTGCCGCCCTCCATCCACCCTGCCGCCCTCCATCCACCCTGCCGCCCTCCATCCACCCTGCCGCCCTCCATCCACCCTGCCGCCCTCCATCCACCCTGCCGCCCTCCATCCACCCTGCCGCCCACCATCCACCCTGCCGCCCTCCATCCACCCTGCCGCCCTCCATCCACCCTGCCGCCCTCCATCCACCCTGCCGCCCTCCATCCACCCTGCCGCCCTCCATCCACCCTGCCGCCCTCCATCCACCCTGCCGCCCTCCATCCACCCTGCCGCCCTCCATCCACCCTGCCGCCCTCCATCCACCCTGCCGCCCTCCATCCACCCTGCCGCCCTCCATCCACCCTGCCGCCCTCCATCCACCCTGCCGCCCTCCATCCACCCTGCCGCCCTCCATCCACCCTGCCGCCCTCCATCCACCCTGCCGCCCTCCATCCACCCTGCCGCCCTCCATCCACCCTGCCGCCCTCCCTCCACCCTGCCGCCCTCCCTCCACCCTGCCGCCCTCCCTCCACCCTGCCGCCCTCCCTCCACCCTGCCGCCCTCCCTCCACCCTGCCGCCCTCCCTCCACCCTGCCGCCCTCCCTCCACCAACCCAATGTGCTCTGGGTGTTCTGGTCCATCGTTTTTTATGCCAACTAGTCTTCGTACCTACCAAGTACCAAGTGCCCGCACAGCCACCTTGCATGCTTCATTGCTCCCTTTATGCCTGTACGGCCCGACCTTAGGCCCCCTTCGCTCCCCCACCTCTTCACCACCTCCTGACGTTCGCCACGAGCGAGAACGTGCAGCTGGGGGCAATAGCGCACACACTACCTCAGCCTCTTATCTCCCATGCTCCATGTGTTATGCTCAATCTCTTTCCCTCCCTCCCTCCATCCAACCAGGTACCGCTGACCTTCGCCACAAGTGACAAGGTGCATCTGGGCTCGGTACCAAGCGTTGCTGCAGTGCATCCCATGCTGATCTCCTCTGCTCCTGCCCTCCCTCCCTCCCTCCCTCCCTTCATGCAACCAGGTACCGTTTGACCTTTGCCACGAGTGAGAAGGTGCAGCTGGGGGCGCTGGTGGGGGCTTTCACGCATGCGCGCACCAAGCTGGTGGAGGGCGCCAAGTAACCTGGCAGGCAGCTCGTAGACTTCCTTTGACTTAGTTTGACCTGGGTCACAGCTTGAGCCGCTCTTAGAGCTGATTAAACACGCCCGCTCCAAGCTCTGGAAGTCTCAGATTACGCCGTCAGGGCCAAAAAGACAACAAAACCAAAGCGAATATGCTTATCGCGGCAATAACTTGGCCAATTGCCGAGAATGGTCACAATCAAATTTTACAATCAATTTTTTAGGGTAGGTAAGAACGGAACACTTAGGACAGCGGTTGTTTTCGTGATATTGCAACGGTGCTCGCAGTACAGTGTACAAGCTAACCTAAATCGCGTCATGCGAGAGTTTCTCGTTACCGTCGTCGAATTTCGTCGACGTTTTGGTGTTCAACCGACGAAATGGAGGGGCAGAGTAACCAACCGATCCGATCGCCACCAGCACCTCCGTCGTTTCCACCCCACCACACGCTTCTATCCACCCCACGCCCCTCACTCGCACGCTCCGTAGTGCCGTTTACGCAACGCAGATATGGCTAGCTAGCTTCCCCTCTCACAGATATGGCTCTTCCAAGCAGCGGCTTCTACCTCCACCGCCTATTCCCCCTACCAAAGTCTTAATCATGTCGGAGCGTAGTCCACACGTCAGAGTCCCTAAGCGTGCGTCCCGACTGAGCCAGCGCGCAGTCATTGGCCATGGCGTCTCGAGCAAGTCGCAAACCGCACACGTGTCCGAGTGCCAATGGAAGACCGACCTTCCGTGTTTCGAACTCGGCGATTCGGAGTGCAATGGCCTATATATGAGACGCTTAGCCTCACCACATTCATCACAGGCTTTCTATCCGCTTCCCCCATTCTCCCTTCGATTCCTCCGTTCTCACTTAAATCGCGCATACTGACCGCGGCGCTGCTGAAGCATTATTTCGCGACTGCGCAAACCATCTCCTCTGCGTGCAATCTCAGCGTTTCATTGCTGCTACTTTTCGTCCAAGGCTGTCACCGAGATCTGAGCATCTAAGCAGTTTCCCATGGCCTCGAATACCAACGCGCGTCTCCGCGCAGCCCGCACGCTGCTTCCCCTTCCTCTCGCCTTCCTGCTGCTCCTCGCCGCCACCAGCGCAAGCGCCGCGCGGCCCGTCCTTCATCCATCCCCCTCCGCCACCGGCTCACCGCACAGCATCGCCGCTCGCCGTGCGCTCGCCCGCGCGGATCCCACTGCGTCTCCGCAGAGGGTGGAGCGGCGGAAGCTGTTCAGCTGGGACGGCGTGACCGTCGATCAGATCATTGCCGGCAGCCTGGGTACGATCGACGGTCCGGATGACGACGAGGTGACGACGAAGATCGTGGATCTATTCATGAACGCGGGGTACAACGTGATGGTCATTCAGAGCGCGCACTCCGTGCAGGGCGACCCGGCGTCCGCGGCGGTGGAGGTGTGGCACTTCTGGGATAACTCGGAGTTCACCGTGTATTTCAAGCAGGGCCCCTTCTCCGTGGAGAATCTTGGCAATGGCGGCTACGAGAACTGGGCGTTCGGCGGCAACTGGCAGCGCTACGGCGCCGATGAGAAGGTCGTCGTATTCTCTTGAATGATAGATATAAGTAAGAGAACCTGGTGGGGTTGCTTCAGGCACGCTAAGGCACTGAAATTGCATGCGGCTGATGGCAATGCTGTTGGTGAGTGTTCAATGGATTTAGCTCCATGCTTGCTCGGTGGCATGCTTCTGCCTGCTGCATGCAGGCAGATGCTGCTTTGCTATTTTTATAACTGACTAAAACAGACCTGGATGCATGCTCCAATTAGCAATATGTGGGATACCATGTCAAGTTCTGAAGCACCCAGTAGAAATTATCAGTAACATCCTACACAGTATTCATCTGCACCGCATAAAACCAATCTCAAGCACTATGCTCATACGGTACTGTAACACACTGTAATGGACATAAAGACAGCTGGCATCGCATATATATACAGTTTTTGGCACATGTTGTGAGAACAAACTTCAGACGATGTTATAGGAATAGAAATCTTGCTACAAATGAAATTAGTTCACTGACGGGTATGGTAATGGCGCAAACCAGCTGGACGCCAGGCGATGGCGGGGGACCATTTTTGGTTTGTCAGGTTGTGGTGTGACCCATTCAGCCATTGCCCTCAAGACCCAACTCCACCATTTAGAATGCTAAACAAAACGTTGCAGAACGAATTGCAAAGCAGGCTGTCTAAAGTGTGGTAAAAGTTTATCCCTGGCGCAGATCCCAGGCTTGGGCGGAAAGGCACACCAGGGCTGTGCGCAATACCCGAACCAAGCAGGGTTACCTGAGCGAGGTGCGGAGGGAGAGAGTCCTCACCGCACCTGAGGGACGCCCCGCCGCGTCCGGCGGCGAACTTTGTTACCTGCGCGACAACAGGCGACAAACTGAACCATGCAGTACGCAATGCGACGCCCACAACTTCATCGGGGCGCGAATGCATCGACCACCCCCACCACCACATGCTCAACTCCAGGCATTGTAATTCAGGCCGCAAGCACCGCCAAACATTTCGTCATTTGCAAACGTAAATCGAGCACACCTGAACTGAAACCGTTCAATCGAGATCCGCTGAATAGCTTCCGCGAGTGCCTGTCACCGCCTGAAATGGCACCTGGCAGTCGGCGCGCCTCCGCTCGACGGAAATAATCCGACGATGGGGGAGCAAATGCGACAGGTAGTGGAATGGGCTAAGAGAACCAAACGCAGACGGGACAGTGAAAGCGAAGCGAGGGAAAGGTTCACCTTGCGTACTATTTAGTAAATAGACGCTCACCCATCGTCCATGCATATAAGACGTGAGGCTATAGGTTACCAAGGATAACACCGCTCCCATCGTTAGCCTTTGCTCCTAGCTCAATCCCTAGCAGTGCGGCCGCCGGTCAGACTCACCTTTGCTCCCATAAGCTCGACCCCCAGAAGTGCGACCGTCCGGCGGTGTTCCATCCTCCACCCTATGACGGTATTCCCACGAGCGGGACTTGCATTTTCAGCCATGGCCCAGACGACATCACACTCGCGCTCGCCGGCGCTCAACGTGACGCTACTCGCCGTCGTCATCGTCGCCGGTGAGCCCACTGCTCCTGCTATGCGCCGCTTCGCGCCTCCTCTGCCTTGTCGCCTCCGCGCGTGCCTCATCATGCTCCATCCGCGTCGCGCGTGTATTCGAGCGCCGAGCTTGAAGTTATGCGCTGAGTGTATTCGCCATGCGCGCACGCACCCGCGGACCTGCCCAGGTCGCGCTTCCATCCCCCGTCGCCTCCGCACCGCGCTATCCCTCCGCGTGAACTTCCCCGCAATCCGCGCAGCAACTCACCTCACCGCAGTATTTTGTTTCCCCCATTCTTTGCGGTGCACCCCCATCGTTTGCGTGTGCAGCGCTGCTCTCACTTTCCCTCTGCGCCACACCCGCCGGCAAGCGCCGCGTGCTGCAGGACGGGAGCGGCGGCATCGTGACTGTAACGACGACGACCACAACGAGCACCACCACGAGCACCAGCGTGAGCAACAGCACCACGTACGGCCCTGATGGCTCCGTTATAAGCACTGGCAGCGCCGTCACCACCACCACCTCCAGTGGGACCGAGAGTGGGAGCAGCAATGGCGGCGGAGGGACGAGCAGCGGAGGGAGCGCGAGTGGAAACAGCACTGGGAGCGGAGGGAGCGAGAGTGGAAACAGCACTGGGAGCGGAGGGAGCGCGAGTGGAAACAGCACTGGGAGCGGAGGGAGCGCGAGTGGAAATAGCACTGGGAGCAGCGGAGGGAGCGCGAGTGGAAACAGCACTGAGAGTAGCGGAAAGACGAGCAGCGGAGGGACGAGCAGCACCACTGTAAACTTCAATGCTCCCATAAGATGTAAGCTCATGCACATGCACTAAAAATCACCGATATTCCTCTCCTGTGATCGCTTTCCTATAGCCCATGCCCTGCTCGCTTCCTGCTGTCAGCATTCGTGCTGCCGCAGGGTGAGGCTCAACTCAACCCATGGACTGTTTCCACTTTGCCATCTGCAGACCGAGCTTTCTCAGTGCTCAACGGCGGGGCTAGCCCAAACGCCAAGTTCAGCATTGATGTGAACATGTAAGTGTGGCTTGGTCACATGTTGAATAACCGTTGAGCCTCACTCCACCTCCTTGACAGTAAACGCTTCCCAGTGCTCTATTACCCACTGCAGCTCGTACACTAAAGGTTTTTGACAAGAATTCGTTCCTTGCACCCACTCCGTCCAAACCTGTCGCCAACCCCTCATTTCTCCCTTTCTCCTCACCCCTGTGCGTCAACCGTGTGCGTCACCCTTCCCATCCACAGCACGGCGACGGAGCAAAGGCCGCTGTTCGCCTTCTTCGTGACAGCGGTGCCGGACAAGCCAGCGCCGGTCTTCTCCAAGCCGGGCTACTACACCAGCGCGGGCAAGCTCGTGCTCGACTTCGACTGCACTCCCACGGCCACCAAAGCCGCCACTACCTATTTCTGCGCTCTAGCGGCAACCGCGAAGATCACCAAGCCGTACAAGCCAGTGGCCAAGACCAAGATCCTCGCGGATGCGGGGCTGTTCGACAATCCCAAGGGGTTCTACGCGGCGATCACGGTGAATGGTGCAGAACTGCGCGGAGATATCACTGCCACAGTTTCTAACATCTGATTGGCTAGCCTTGTTTTGTTATGTAATTGTAGAAAGCACTTCACAGGATGTTAAAGTACTGTATGCTATTGAATTTCCCGGCCATCACTCTGCTCTGCACCCTCTGTAAGCCCATTCGCTGTAAGCCCATCCACCCGTGCGCTCACCACTCTCATTGCCGTCTACCTGTGAGCCCTCCGCCGTGGCTTTTGGCACTGCATCGCTGCCTCCATGAATCAGTGGCCAATCAGGTGACAGTTGGGTCAACTCAAGGACACATCGCCGCCTCCATCCACCCTTGTCTATCCACGCTGCCTGGACCGCCGTTGCTCGTGTGCCCTGCCTGTCCGACCGTGGTACACCCACAAGCAGCAGTCAAAGCAGCTCCCTAACCAGCTGCGAGCAGAGTGATCCTCACATGAGCAGCGGCAGGCAGGGCGAGCTTGCATCCCTACATGGGTGGCAGTTGGGTGGTCGAGTACGTGCTTCTGCGTGGAATGTGGAGTGTGGCGAGTGAGCGAGAAGCCTCTAGCTTTTTCTGATTCTTGTTTTAGGGGGTGTTTGACAGCTTTCACAACATCTTATAATTATATCAACCCTTAGACCCATCTACTCTGAAGCGACTATGACATGGTTGGACTGACAATACAATGAATGACGCGAGACGCGGGCAACCTACGGTAGCTAGAAAACCTCGTTACATGAGGCTACTAATTGTGGTTATTACTTCCCCACGCAGTTCTGCACCGTTCACATTGACAGCCGCATAGAAGCCATTGGGATTGGCGAACAGCCCCGCGTCCACAACCGCCTTGAACCTGTTGCCTGGCGTGTTAATGTCCGAGAGATTCAACACCTGCTTCCCACTGCAAAGATAAGCACCCGGCGTGCTGGTGGCCTGGGGCACGCACGCGAATTCCACCACGAGCTGGCCCGCGCTGGTGTAGTAGGTGACGTTGGAGAAGACCGGCGCTGGGCTATCAGGCACGCCCGTGATGGTTAGGGTGTAGAGCGACCTTTGCGTTGACAACGTTCTGCGCATGGGAGGGTTGAGGCACAGGGGTGCAATGCAGCGGTTTGCGACAGGTTTGGGTCAAAGGGGTGGAAATTCAGCTGCGATAGCTTTGTCCGCAACTTTGGCTACGAGCTGCTGCGGCGGGGAAATGAGCGGTGAAAGGAGGCGCTAATGGTGCATGAGCAGTGGGAGGAGGCGCAAAATTGTGCATGAGCTGGAGTGCGGCCCGGCATCTATCATGTCAGGCGTTACTGCGCACTTACATGTTGGTATCGAATATGAACTTGCCGCTCGTGTCGCCATACGGATTGAGGTCGGAGGAAGCTTGGTCTGCAGAGCACGCAAGGGGAAACACTCAACGGATTCAGCGGCGATTCTGAGGCGGCAGGAGCGATGAACGCTGGCAGGGAGTGAAGAACGGGTTTTCAGGAAAGCGGTACTACGCAGTAGGCGTTGGTGATTTTGAGTGCAGTGATACATGTGCATGAGCTTACATCTCGTGAGCCCCTTGATGACAGTGGTGCTGCTCGTCCCGCCGCTGCTCCCAGTGCTGTTTCCACTCGCGCTCCCTCCGCTGCTCGTCCCGCCGCTGCTCCCAGTGCTGCCCCTACTCGCGCTCCCTCCGCTGCTCGTCCGTCCGCTGCTCCCGGTGCTATTTCCACTCGCGCTCCCCCCGCTACTCGTCCCTCCGCTGTTCCCAGTGCTGCCGCCACTCGCGCTTCCCCCGCTGGGGGTGCTTGTGGTCCCACCGGCGCCCGTGGTGGTGACGCCAGTGCTTATAACGGGGCCATCGGAGCCGTACGTGGTGCTGTTGCTCACAGTGGTGCTCTTGGTGGTGCTCGTTGTGATCGTCGTCGTTACAGTCACAATGCTGCCAGTCCCCTCCCGCAGCATGCGGCGCGTGCCGGCGGGTGAGGCTAAGAGGAAAAGCGAGAGCAAGGCTGCACACGCAAACGATGGGGGTGTACAGCAAAGCGAGAGAGGGGGAGGGGGGGGGGGAGGGGGGGCATCGGAACCTATAGGGCCATTTTCAGGTGCGATCTCTACAGTACAGGAAATGTATTCAGGTGTGATCCCGGCGCATATTTCCAAGTCTCTGTTGCGCTCTGTACACACGTGGCGGAATAGAGCCTTGAAAAGATACGCCACTCAAATCTGTACTCCGAGGGAAACTAATGCGAAATTAATGCGCTCACACACGGTTTGTTTACCGACGCTACCAGGAAGTGCTAAGACGTGCCCCGAAAAACAAAACTAAAAGCTTCAGTGACCCTCGACGCATTTTTGGGAGATAAGACCTAAACACGGGAACCTCCTAGTGTTTAGTGTTGATACCTCCGTAAGGTTTTCGTGACAAACAAAACTAAAACCCAATCGGAACGGAATCGAATCGGGAGGCATCAACCCTAAAAACCAGATGTGTTCCCGTGTTTAGGGCTGATCCCTCCCGAAACTGCTTCCAGGTCGCTAGGGTTTTTATTCTGATTTATTTTAAAAATTTCGGGTAGCCTTAACAGCTTTGGGTAGTTTGGTCTGGGCATGTTGTATGGTTGACTTCCGTCAGAATGTGTCAGAGACAAAAAAAAATCGTCAGCTGAACAACATGTGAGTGGCGAGTCCGCACATGGCACTGTTGCGGCACGTGTGTACAGTGCCGTAACAGTGTCGTAACATAATTGGATCACACCTGAACACATTTACTGTACTGTAGAGATCGCACCTGAAAATGGCCCGAACCTATACCTCTGTGTCAAACAGCATGCCATCCAGTGGCTTGATGTTTGATAGGCATCGCTTGGACTTTCTTCGCGATGCCTGGGATTGGCGTGTAGCATTACCACTTACAGCGTGTTGTTAGGCCCGACGGCCTAAGTCCGCTAAAGAATTAGCGGGGTCGACTAAGTCGAGGATAAACGCGGCGGAAGACTTTGGCGAAAGAGAGTGTTGGCGAAATAGGCGAAGAAGTAACTGAGTAATTGAAGAAGAGTTGAATGAGAATTGGTTGATATGAGGGAATACAAGCAAGGTTTATATAGCATGCAAGAAGGAAGGTTGGAAAGTAGAATGTGGGACTAGGAATTGTGAAGCTAGAAAAGTAGAGTGCCACGTGGCACTAGAGAATCTGAGAAGATAAGGATAAGGGTGACTTGGAATGTACTGTTCGGAATGAACAGTAAACACCCCTCTAACACTACCCCCCTCCCAAGGAGGCGACGTCCGCGGCGCCTGCAGACTGAAGGTACGCTTGGAGGCAAGCGTTGTCAGGAGACAGCGAGGACGAAGGAACCCAGCTGTCGTCGGCTGCATCGTAACTATGCCAACGAACCAAGAAGTCGATGAAAGAGACACCCCCCTGGAGACGGCGACGGTGCCTGAGGATGCGCTGGATCTGATAGTCGGGCTCGTCGGTGTCAACAGCTACCGGCAGTGGAGTGCGATCACGGCCCGAGAAGGTGGAGTTGGGATCGGTGTATGGACGAAGGAGAGACACGTGGAATGACGGGTGCATGCGGAAATGAGCGGGAAGGCGAAGGCGGTATGCGACTGGACCAAGTGCGCGCTCAATGACAAATGGACCAATGAAACGTGGGCGAAGCTTGCCGTCCTGTGGCAGTCGGAGGTTGCGGCTATCGAGAAGGACACGGTCACCGACTGAAAAAGACACCTCTCGACGAATGCGGTTGGTGGTGCGTGCCATGCGTGCATTTGCAAGCTCAAGGTGCTTCCTCACATGGTCGTGAATGAAGGTGAGGTGCTGGTGGAAATTGTCCGCACGAGGGACAGTGGGTGTGAGATCGACTCGAGTGGGGACATTGGGGTGCTGACCGTACAGTGCGAAGAACGGTGACATGCCTGTGGCGGAGTGGTGCGTGTTGTTGTATGCGAACTCTGCCATGCTCAGCTTTTTGTCCCATGCGCCTGCGTCGTGCATCGTAATGCTGCGAAGAATCTGCTCTAAAGTCTGGTTCACACGCTCGGTCTGTCCGTCTGTCTCTGGATGGTACGCAGACGACATGGCTAAGCGAGTCCCAAACAGTGCGAAAAGCTGCTTCCAGAACTTCGAGGTGAATCTAGGGTCGCGGTCTGAGATGATGGAATCTGGAACCCCGTGCAGTCGGACTACGTTATCTACGAACAGCGTCGCGGCTTCCTCTGCTGTGACCTGGCCGTGCGTGGGAATGAAATGCGCTGCTCGGGAAAACTTGTCCACTACCACGAAGATGGCGTCGTGACCCCTAACTGTACGCGGTAAAGCCATGATGAAATCCATGGTGACTACCTGCCAAGGGCGGTCGGGCGGTGGAATCGGCTGCAAAAGTCCTGCCTTGCGCTGGCGAGAGGACTTCGTACGCTGACACGTGTCGCACGAGCGAATATAATCCTCTACGTCTGCTGCAAGCCCTGGCCAGTAGTACGTGCGACTAAGCGTCTTAGCCGTCTTATCTGCTCCGAAGTGACCTGCACTAACTACGTCATGCGCCTCTGAGAGAAGGAGCTGTCGAAGAGGGCGGTAGGCTGGAACCCAAATCCGTGCTGTACCCTTCCGTATGTAGACACTACCCTGCACCTCTGCTCCTGCGGGCGGCTGCGGTGTGAAGTCGGGATCTACTGTGTAACCGTGCTCGAAGAGTGCTGTGAGAAGTGGATGGCCGGCAGTGACTGTGAGACTAGCGAGCTGACAACTAGGGCGAGTGAGCGGATCCGCCGGGTTGCGAACGCCTGGCTTGTACTCTATCCTGTAGTGGAAACTCCCCTCCATGAACTCCATCCATCTAGCCTGGCGACGACTCAGCTGCGGCTGCGACTTGAGAAAGCGAAGCGAGCAATGGTCCGTGCGTATAACACTATCTGCCCCCTCTAGGTAGCACCTCCACACCTTATACGCATGGATGATCGCGAGCGCCTCCTTGTCGTGGATCGGATAGTTCAACTCTGCTCCCCTAAGCTTACGCGACTCGTACGCGATCGGCTGCAACCCGCGTCCCTGGTCCTGAAGAAGCACTGCACCTATGGCCTGATCTGAAGCGTCGGTCACTACAACGTATGGGCGAGTGGGATCGGGGTACGACAGTGTCGGTGAAGACGTGAGCGACTGCTTCATCTGCTCGAACGCCTGCTGCTGCGCTGGAACCCAAACTAACTCTACGCCTTTCCGAAGTAGGTCGGTGAGTGGACTAGCGATGGAAGCGTAACCCTGAACGAAACGACGGTAGTAATTCGCGAAACCGAGGAAGCTCTGCAACTCCTTGACTGAGGTCGGTGCTATCCAATCCTGTACTGCTGCGATCTTCTTCGGGTCGGTCCTAACGCCACTAGCGGAAACGACGTGACCTAGAAACTCGACCTTGGGGAGGAAGAACTCGCACTTTGACTGCTTCGCGTACAGCTTCTCCCTCCGCAAGACCTCAAAGACCCTCTGCAAGTGCTGCACGTGCTCCTCCTTCGACTTGGAAAAGATGAGGATGTCGTCTAGGTAAACTACGACGAACGAACCTAGGAACTCCGAGAGGACTGTGTTCATGAGCGTCTGGAACGTTGCTGGGGCGTTGGTCAAACCGAACGGTAGTACCCTAAACTCGTACAACCCCTGCTTCGTACGAAACGCCGTCTTGTGCTGATCCTCTGGAACTACGCGAATCTGGTGGTAACCCGAACGAAGGTCGATCTTGGAAAATACTCTAGCGCCCTGCACTGCATCTAGGAGATCCTCTACTCTCGGCACCGGGAATCTGTTCTTGACGGTGGCGGCGTTCAGTGCGCGGTAATCTATGCACATCCGTAACCCTCCGTCTTTCTTAGGCGCGAACAGGATCGGTGCTGCCCAAGGCGATCTAGATGGCTGTATGAACCCCTGCGCGAGAAAGTGCCTAACCTGCTGCGTCATCTCCTCTGTCTCTGCTGGACTCAACCTCCACTGCGGCTTCGCTACTGGCCTGCTCCCCGGCTCCAACTCTATTCGATGGTCTACTGCTCGGCTGGGAGGTAACCCTGGGGGCAACTCGTCGGGGAAGACGTCTGCGAACTCTGCTAACAGTGCACTCACCTCAGCAGGAAGAGTCGCCTTCTCACTAACTGCTGCACTCCCTCCTTTCCCCTCCTCAGCTTCAACCTCCTCAAGGAAAACCGCGAAGATCCGTGCCGCACGCTTCACTAACTGTCGCACACGAACTGCATTAATGATAGCTGTGGCACCATCGCTCCACTGTGGCAGCTCCCGGAACTCCCCGTCTACCTTGACGCTACAGCTTCCCAGAGCCCAATCGAACTGTGTACTAACCGTCCGTAGCCAGTCTCTCCCGAAGATGAAATCGTAACCGTCCAGCGTCGCAGAGTCGAAATCACGCCTAACTGTGATCGGTCCTAGCACTACGCGCAACTTGCGAATGATTGGCCCTATGTTGAGAGGTGTCCCATCTACCATTCGAGCATCCTTGAAGTTGACTGCAGAATCTGCTTCGAGATGGAGACGACTAACTAACGACGAAGAAACGAAAGAGTGGCTAGCTCCGCTGTCTACTAGGATCTTGACAGGTACACCGCGAAGCTTCCCTAGAAGCACGACTGGATGATCAACAGTGTCTACCGAGGTCTCCGTAGATGACTGCTGCAAGGCCGTCTCCTCTACGTTGGTAGACGTGGCGGGTACGGGAACCTCCACACCAGCTAGCGACCCGCTATCTACTGGCGGTTTCCGTTTCCCTGCTGCTGCTCCTTGAACTGTGGACAGTCCCGCTTCATGTGACCCGGCTTTTTGCAGTAGTAACAGTTCCCCCTAAAACCCGTCCGCTGTGAACCGTCACTGTTAACTGCACCAATCTCCATGGGCGATGGTCCGTCCCTCGATCGAGCGTCGTTGATCGGTCTGCTGTATCCCCTATCGCGATCGTCACGAC